TGCCGCTTGTTGCAAATACAGCCCTGAAAATGGCCTGGGTAAAGGTGGTTGAGGCCCTGCATCATGGGCACCCCCTGGAAGAGTGTGTGGGACCCTCAGGACTCAGGGTGGATTGGCCTTTCCCCATAATCAAATTCCTCTGGGGGCATCTGGGTGGCTCAGTCGGTGAAACATCCGACTCTTGACTTCAGCTCAGGTCATATCTCAAGGTCATGAGTTCGAGCCCTATGTGGGGCTCTGCGCTAAGTGTGGAGCCTGCTTAAGATTCCTCTCTCCCTCTCCTCTGCCCCTCTCCACCAATAAATAATAAAAATTAAAAAAAATAACGTCTGCTGACTCAGCCTGTTGAACTGGGGCGATGATGCCAACTATTTTATAGACATTGTACTTCAGTTTGTTAAAGGAATGGTCATGTTTAAGATACATATATAGTGCAACAATGACACATTCCTATATTTAATTAACATATACCATTACTAAGCAAATGAATTAGCAAAAGTTCATTCTGGTCCTACAATAAAATGAGCAAGATGATTAAGATTTTTAAGATAAAAAAATATAGATGGATAATTTAGAATCTGAGAGAAAGCAATATTTTAGTTGTAAGGGTTTGCGACTGAGCAAGTAGGTAAAAGAAGGTGATGTTTAATTTAGTATTAGGGGAGTATTGGGTTTGAAGGATGGGGAATCAGGTGTTTGGTTTTGGTCACATATATCTTGGACAGGCCTATTGCCTATTAGACATCCACATGGAGATATTGACTAGGCAATTGTATGTATGGGTCTAGAATTTATGGGAGAAGCCAGAATGGGAAGTAGAAATTTGAGCACAGGGAGAGTATAGAGGAGGCATGCCAATACCAAGACGTCCAAGAAGTGTTCAGGATCCAGCCAAGGAGAATGAAAAAGGTGAATAGTAAAATGGGAGAAACATCAAGAGGGGCTCATCCACACAAGTGAAGAAAGTATCGAGGAAGGAGACGGTTCTAGCAACTGTGACAAATGTGGTGCATAGTCAGGCAAGGTGGGAGCAGAGAGCGGACTATTGGATGCAGCAATTCCCTGATGAGTGGACCTACTCACAAGAGCACTGGGTCAGGGGGCATGGGAACTCTAATCACGTGGATTCCAGGGAGAAGGATAGAGACGAGATGGGGAGAAGGAGGCAAGTCTGCTGAGGCCCGTGAGAGGGAAGGGGTGAGAGTGGGAGGGGAATGTGTGCCAGAGGAGGGTTTTTGTTTGTTTTTCAAAGATGGGAGCCATAGCAGCGTGCCCGAATGCTGGTGGGATGGTAGAGAGAAACACTGATAGCACAGTGAAGAGAGAGACGTGATTTAGGGGAAGAGATGGACGTCTGACATCCAGTTGCTGTGCAGTGTGGTTAAGTCTGGAAAGAAAGATACACAGAGCCAGGAGACTGTGGCATGAAGAGGGTGAGCACCTCCGAGAACACTTTTATGGTTCTTGACCACTTACCCATTCAAAGCTATACATCGCACGGGCAGCTGGGCCCATGATCTCTGCTTTCAAGTTTGTAACGGGAGTGAGGCCTTACAGAGGATATGGGATAACAGAGCAATGAGAGTGACAATTTTTTTTCTTGTTGTTGTTAGTGAGTTTCTATACATTTTTCTGGACATTGCCTACTTAATCAGCAGAGAAATGTAAAGCAGCTCCTCCCATCTGTGTGTGTGTGTGTGTGTGTGTGTGTGTGTGTCTAAATTTTAATTAAAAAAAAAACAAACAAGAAATAATTTTCTTCCAAAAGCTCAAACCAAAAGAACGCTCATGACTTTGTCAGACAGCAGTTGTTTTTTTTTGGTGCTTCATGCTCCTGGGAGCAAAAGCACGCAGGGCAGGTGGAGACAGAGGTGGCACAAGGTGGAAAAAACAGAGCTCGCCTGGCTGTCCTCCTGTTCATGCCTGCTGTTAAACCATTCCTTTCCATCAGGTCTGGCCCCGAGGTATTGTGCGCATCGTGCCAAAGCCAAAGTGAATGGGTGAACCTGTCGCTTGTCCTTTGCAAACATGGTTTTCGGTGGTTTGTTGGAAAACCAAGGCATTTCTTTATTGTTTTAACCTACACAGATGGTAACAAGCTATTTTTCTAAGGCTTATCAGGTTGCTTTCCCTTTCCTTTTAGTGACCTAAACTGGAAATTTTGCAATGTGGTTAAATTAAGGTGCCTTCTCAAAGGTTAGCTGTTGTTTTTTTGTTTTTGTTTGTGTTTTTCCTTTATTTCTCCCAACCCAAGACCCAGGGCTCCTAGAGGATAGCGTCCAGCTTGGGGAACTTAATATGACATTCGCCACGTACTCTGTCTCCAAAATAGACGGATTGAGGAAGGAAGGAAGAAGGGAGGGAGAGGAACCCATCAGATCATTCCTGTTGACATGACATGACAACTGCAAATGCTTCAAAGAGCAAGTAGGGGACTCTGAAGGCAGCTGTTTAAGTAGAGGTTGTTCAAAGACAGTGTCCATGACCTGTTGCATATAACCAATACATTTTATTAGTTATAAACTACACTATGCGGTATTTTTAGAAACGGGAGTCGCGCTAGGAACCAGGCCATGCTCGCTTCTGTAGCTGATCAGTTTTTATTTATGACAGTGCACTAGCTTCTAGATTATCTGTCCAGGGGAAGCAGTCAACATCTGTACTAGGGCATGTGTCCTGTCTTTATTTTAAGTCCTGTATTTACAACTGCTGGGCCCTCACATTTTTGTTCTTACTAAAGGATACTGATAGGGAAAAAAAAATGCAAAACAACAGTTAGCATCCTTAGAACATTGCACTGATTTTGTTGCCTTTTTTTTTTTTCCCTGGAGCGCTTGTTAAATCTGAGGCTTCATGGAATCTGGAGTTCAGTGGAATCACCCATCACCATAAACAATGTTTACACCCATTTTCATTTACATAAATCAAAAACTACAGGATACATGTTGATTAGAAAACTGTTTATTACCTCCTGTGTGATTTCAAAGTGACGGACTAAAAGGCCCATAGGACATAAGGTGTGTCTTCTGCCAAATTTGGTCAAAATAGGTTCACACTCAGAAAGTTGAAGTTAAGCTTAAAAAATCCCCAAAGCCAGATTGATGGAACAGTGAATGACCACCTTTAAAAAGTGAATGTGTGTGTCACAGTTTATATTATCAAAAGCATTTTCAAATAAAGGCATGCAGAAAAGCGAGACGAAATCAAATGCGTGGCAGGGAACATATCTCAGTATACCCATCCCTTCCCCACTGCCCCCAATCCTCTTACCACCCCCACGCATGTGCTCCCCACGCCAAGAAGGGCCAGCCATCTGCCTGCCATGCAGGACTATCGGGATCTTCTTGGCCCCATGTTCTCACCCCCTCCTCCCTTGGCCTATTTTAGTGCTCGTGTCTCGTAACTTTAAGTATATTAGTTGATTGATTGTTTTGATATCTAAGTTCTACTATAATTCTTCTTTTTCTAAATTTTCCTGACTAATATAGAGCTGACCTCTCAAGTTCTGTTAATAAAAATCCTTTTGGAATATGGTATTAAAATTGTATTGCGTGTACTGAGATAAAATTGTCAACATAATATTGTTATGGAATCCCATTATAGTTCTTCTTGTGAAGGTTTTATGCATTTCATGATAGGATTATATATTATATATTGTGCATTATGTGAGTTATATATATGTGTATTATTGTATATTATATATACATGGATAGAGTGTATAAGTTTATTGTATATTATATATTGTATATCATATATACTATATATCATATATCATATATCATATATTATATATACATGGATTATATATTATATATATACATGGATAGAGTATATAAGTATATATATTTAATGTGTGTATAGTATATATATTTTATATATTATTATATATTAGTACACACTAATATATTTTTCCTCTCATGTAGGTGTTTATTCTCTTTCTTTTTTAAAATTAAGTTGACATCTAATCACTTTATTAAACTTTCTTGGTATTTTTAAATGAAAAAGGGATTATCTTAGATATTTTAGTACAAAAACTAGATCACTCATGAGCAACAAAAATCTCATTATTTAAATTTTAGTATCTACACTTCCACCTCTCCGTCTCTTATTTAACTGATTGGGACATGCAGAACTGTGTCATATAGCAGATAAAGAGTATCCTTGTGTTATTTCCAGTTCTAATGGAAAGGCTTTTAATGTTTAATTATTAAGTCAGATGTTCACTGTTCACTGTAGATTTCTGGCAGATGTCTTTTTTATCATGTTAAGGAAATTTTCCTTCTTAGGTTACTAAATAGCTAAGGTTCTCCATTTTCCAAGTTGACAAATATGCCCAAAACCCTCCGTACCCTTTCTCACTGCTGGTTCTTTACTCGTGGTTGATCCCTGCTATGATATGCTTCCGCCATGTTCATTGCTCCCTCTCTATGAGGCCTTTCTGGGCTGACTTCCTGTGTATCTCTCATTCTTCCTTTCGTGTATTCTGTAACTGTTTTTGGCCTATCCTTCTCCCTTTAAAACTACAAAGTCCTACCACTGAGGGTTTTAACTATTTATCTTTGTATCACAAATGCCAAGACCCTAACATGTGTGCCACAAAAGTTCCATGAAAATGGTTTTAATAAATCAACGAATGTAAGAATTATTGAAAAGTTTCCTGTGGATAATGCAAGTAGGTGGTTCTTTTGACTTGGATAATACTTTATTAATTCTTGGAATTTCTTTCTTTCTCTCTATCTTAGAATTATTTAGAATTAGTTTGCAATTTCTTGAACACTATCCATTGTTTGGTTTCTAATAGCACGTGTTGGGACATGGCCCTCTGAAAATATGCCAGTTATTGGAGAGGAGGAAAAATGAATGAAATATTATATATACTGTATTATATCTTGAGAGGAGGATATCTTTTGTTGGTTATCAAAGCTTGGAAGAATAAAAGTTATTCTTAAATTTTTCACTTAACTTTATAAGAAGATACACTTTTTTTCCTCCCTGTGCAGGGAATTACTATCCGACCACTGGTGGAATTTCTCGATGTTAAGAGGTCTAATAAGAAACAACAAGCTGTCAGTGAAGAAATCCATTGCAGGGTAAGTGTTAGTGTAGTAATCATGATTTAAATGATAAAAGAAAAACTTGGGTTCAGTCGACAACTTGGCATTCTGGTGCTCATTTCTTGGAAGGACAGAGAAATGGCAGAGGGTAAAAGGGAGAGAGGGCCAAAGAGGGCATGAGTTGGGGGTGTGAGCACAGCCCCATAGTGGCTTCTCCAAATTAACCTGCTAGACCTCCTGGGAATGGGAGAACAAGGAATCCCTCTTTTTTTTTTTTTTTTTTTAAGAATTTATTTTAGAGAGAGAACCAGACAGCATGACCAGGAGGAGGGGCAAAAGGGCAGGGATAGAGAGAATCCCAAAGCACACTCTGCACTGAGTGCAGAGCCCAGCTTGGGGCTTGATCCATGACCCTGAGATCACGACCTAATCAGACCTGAGTGGAAACCAAGAGCTGAATGCTCAACCAATTAAGTCACCCAAGTGCCTCAGCAGCAAGGAATCCCTCTTGTTACTTCTTTCAGTCTGAAAATGTTTCTATTCGAAAATTATCACCATATTTCATATTTTCAAAAATTATGAACAGACTATTATGATGATAAAAATAACCCGAGAATTGCCTATTATTGATATAGTAAAATCAATGTATTTGCAGAGGAATCATTGTTTCATTGCTTCTCATGAAAACAAAACAGAACAAACAAACAAAAACCCAAGAACAGAAGAAAAACAAAAACGGTCAGGGTCTTTGAAGTTTAGGCGTGATATAAGTAGAGTGTAAATTAGTCATTTCAGGTAAAAATCAGTAGCCTACTTTTTCTGTTTCAGTTTTTCGATCATGTGAAGACGGGGATTGAAGATGTTTGTGGACACTGGGGTCACAACTTCTGGAGAGACAAGTAAGAAGGACTTACGCCATTATATTATGAAGGGGCTCTAGCTCACTCTGGAGGCAGGACTTACTGACCTGTGTTATTTTTCAGAGCTGTGAGTCTTTCCTGCATTGTGCCAAAGTATGTCCTTTGAGATAAAGTTCAGCAATCACAGAAACCCAGAGCTTGCTCTTCTGTAAAAAGCCAGACCTCTGTAGGCAATGTAGGTGTAATAGGTGAGCTCTGCTCCACGTACTTCTCAGCGTCCCAGGATGCTTCTGTCCTGGTGAATCTGCAAACATTTTCCATTTTCAAGGTTGCCTCTTGGACCAGAATGGCGGCTCCAGAGTTAGCCATCATGCACACATTCCAGGCTGCATGTAGGAAGAAAGATAACGAAGAGACAAAGAATATGTACTACTGCTTTCCTCCTAACTGGAGTTACTGGAAGCTTTCACACAATTCTTCCAGTTACACACATGGCCTGGCCCTTATGTGGCAGGCACTCAGTCATGCGGGCATTTCTCACCACAAGGGAGGCTGGGATATACAGCCTATTTGGTGAAAAACTGAGGGTTCCGTTACTGTTTGTGGTCCTGCATATGTTGAGGGGCTTTGTCAAATGCAGAGCCTCGGAACACCTGATGATATAATTAGACTAACATGTATTTTACAAACACACTTTAAGTACAGGTATTGTAACAAATAGAAGTGACAAATTTTTTTTTTAGAAGTAAATATTTTTAAAGCTGCACTTCTATGAAAGATTATGTGTGCTTATATAAATGTGTCTATTTCTGGTTTTTTTCCCTTTAACTTTTAAAGGTTTTGTGATGTCTCCCTTCAAATTTCTTTTTTTTTTTTTTAAAGATTTTATTTCTTAGAGAGAGAGAGAGAATACACGAGTGAGCATGGGGAGGGGCAGAGGGAGAGAGAAAGAATCTCAGGCAGACTCTGCACTGAGCACAGAGCTCCATGTGGGGCTCAATCCCAAGACCACAAGATCCTGACCTGAGCCAAAACCAAGAGTCAGATGCTTAACCCACTGCACCACCCAGGCACCCCTCTTCAAGGATCCTGTAGTTGAAATGGACAAGGTACACTAGCCAGGCAGAATTTGGCACATGCTTTCGTATAAACTGAAAAACAGACTTCCGGGATTAATTCCGACAGCAGAGTTGGGGACACGGAACCAGAGTTGGGAACTCAGGAACCAGCTCACCCGACCACCAGAAGCTGACCGTGTCCTGCTCCTCCTGACTTCACATTCAGTGCCATCCACACAGGTAGCCTGAGTCAGCCCCGGCGGTCATATGCAGAGGAACTGACAAATACTATAAACCAGGGCCCATTTTTCCCCCCATAAAACGATATGTGAACATTTATCCTCACATCACTGGTGAGGAAAGCTTTTTGAAGGAGACAGACAACAGCTTTAAACTATATTTTGGTAGATTCCTCTTACCTTCTTGCCTTTGCTTTCCCAACTTACGAATAGATGCCCTCTCCCACCCCCCGCTAATTTACGTGAAATTAACCAAGCTGCCAATTTATGTAATTTAACATCAGGGAGTTTTTGAGTGCTTATTGTTTGTTCACATGTTCTGACATGATACCGGATTATAGCAGAAGTATAAACCATGAACTCAGGACTTTAAAATTTTGCGATATAATAAAGGCAACAAAACAGTCACACAGCAAATGGGTGTGTGTGTGAGTGAGTGCTGTCATTAAGTAGTATGATGAGTTACAGAGACTCTAAGTGCTAAAACACCCTTGACAAACCTGACCACACTGGTTACTAATGGAGAAAAGCCTCATAGACTGAGCCTTACTCTGTAAGCAAAGTAAACATAGTTTATTTGTATGGAGAGAACAGCCAGTTAACTATGAGGGGGCACAAAGTACTAAAGCAAACTACAATCTCCACTTTTAAAATATGGGGGGTGGGGAATGACCATTTGTCTTGGTCAGGAGTTACATTTTTGCAGGCAGGGGGTAGATGAGAGAACCCTACCCATCGGTGCTGTGACTTTCTATGCACTACCCTGCTTTATGTGCCTGGGACCTTCCTAACAAAGACGGATCCTTGTCTTTGCCAGGCCAGCAAATCAGACTTTTCTGCTTCTCTTCCTCTGTTTTTTTTTTTTTTTTTTTTTTTTTTTTTTTTTGTTTTTGTTTTTGTTTTTTCTTCCTCAGCCAGGTCTGTTTTCCACCTGCCTCCTCCCTTTGCACCCAATCACTTGATCACTTTTTCCACTCCTCCAGCATCCCATGTCCTTCCCTGGAGGAGCAGGAGAAAGTCGTCACCCAGGACAGTTGGTTCCTTTCCAAAGGGAAAATTAGGGTAAGGATGTATTCCACACCTCTGCCTCCCGAATGGGGACAAAGACGTGAGCAGGAATCAGGTCAACATCCCTGGGGCAGTGTTAGGAGGAAGCGGTGGACCCTGTGGTCATGGAGATTTGGTCTGGAACCTCAGGTAAAGGAACGTCAGAGAAAGTCTGGCTGCATCCTTTCTTTCAGGCAGAGATACTCTGTCTCTGGTGTACGTGAGTCTGTTCCAGGCCAACATCTACAGGCTGCCAGGCTAATTAGACTATAAATACTAAAGATGGCAGAGCCAACTCTGATTTCATGTCTGAAAGGTACTATAGCTCCATGTCTCCAGGTTTCCTCTGCAGTGTACGTCTTTCTTTTAACCCCTGTATATTTCCGTGCACGACAGTCTCCAGGTAAATTTCAGCATAATTCCCTGGATTTGTCAAGTGTACTAGATGTCACAGGTAGAGCAGGGAAATGTGTGTGGGTATGGAGGAATCTGGTGCTGACGCAGGTCATTCTCAAAATCAGCTCTGCTCAGATCCTATCTCTGGTATGTACATAATTGTTGATGTTACTAAAAGTCATATATAAAGAAGTGGATTGTTTTAGGTATGTTGGGTATCTTTCCATTTCCTCTGGAATCCTTAAGGCTGTGGATTTCTAGTCGTCTTGCCAGAGAATTTGTGAGGCAGCTGATCCTTTGAGAAAGGGCAAGTCTTAAACCTTTGAGGAGGGAAGTTTCTCAGACTCAGTAAAAGGAGTCTAATGACGGCGAGAGAGAGCACCTAGGTGTAGGTTGGCAGAGAACTGAAAGGTGTGAAAATAAAGCAAAGAAAGCACACAGTTCCTATGTTAAATCAGATGCCTTTGCCCTTAATGCTTATTCTCCCTTTTGTTTCTCTCTAGTGAAAAGCTAAAATAATAATAAGAGTAACCGAAGTTTAAAAAGATGTGTTGTGGGCAGGAGTCCTGGCCCAATGAGCCTCACATGAAATTTAGAATAAACATAGAAGAAAAAACTTGGTCCCTGTTACATGCAGTAGCCAGTGAAAAGGATGACCCCTTAATTATTTATTGCCCTCCAATGTAGAACAAAGGGCCAGTACCAAGAATGTGGGTTCACATTGTTCCTATCGTAGTAGCACAGGTGTACCTATAAACCTCCTTGGGCTTATGGTAATCACCGTAATGCATTTCTTTCTTTCTCAACAAATATTCATTGCATGCAGTTTTGCTTACCTATTGGCATAATAATGTTACATAACAAACCACCCTTTTACTCAGCTGCTCAAACAACAGTCACGTTATTAAAGCACATGAGTCATGAGTCTGGGAGTCCAGGCTCTGGGCTGTGCTGGGCTGCTGTGGACTGGGCTGGCTCATGCTTCAGGGGGTTGGTTGGTTTTGTCAGCTGATCCCAGCTGGCCTTCTGTGGTGTGACTGGAGGGATTGAACTCTACATCGTGTAGCATTCACCTTTGTCCTGGGACTGAGTCACTCCAATCATATCCTTCTCATGGTAATTGTGGAAACCAAAGAGGTAATCCTCAGTACAAGCCCATTTTAAGCCGCCGCCCCAGTTGTTATGTCTGGTACAGCCCACTGACCAGAGCAGGGAACATTATTAAGGCCAGTGACAGGAAACAGGATAGCACAGGTCACCTAGGCCATGGTGCAAGGACATGGCCAAGTAATAGGGCAGAGGGCGTGGATAGAGGGAGGAATTGAGACCAAATGATCCATTCCACCGTCTGTGCTTACAGTGTGCCAGATATTGGTGATAAAGGAAAAAAATGGAAAACAAAACAAAACAAATCTCTGCCCATATGTATCATTTTAGTGCTAGGGGACAGAAAGTAAGAGGAATTATATAGCATATTTGAAAATGATAACTGCTATGGCGAAAAATATATGTGGCAGGTAGAATAGAAAGTTCAGGGGGTGGGAGATGGCATGTGGTTCTAATGGGTTGGAAGGGAAAGGCTCTTCTGATAAATGACTTGTGAGGAAGGACTTAAAGGAGGGTCTGCAACTGAGCCATGCAGGTGTGTGGGGTTAGGGTGTTCGTGGTGGAAGGAATACTGGGTCTAAAGGACAAGGGGAGATGGAGAGGAGAAGGGAGTTGAGGGAAATTGGAAGGGGAGGTGAACCATGAGAGACTATGGACTCTGAAAAACAATCTGAGGGTTTTGAAGGGACGGGGGGGTGGGAGATTGGGGGATCCAGATGGTGGGTATTGGAGAGGGCACGGATTGCATGGAGTACTGGGTGTGGTACAAAAATAATGAATACTGTTACGCTGAAAAAATAAAAAATAAAAAAATAATAATAATAAAAAAATAAAGGCCCATGGGTGGGAGCAGAGCTGGCAAGTTTCCAGGGCAGAAAGGACACCAGTGAGGCTGGACATGAGAATAGTGCTAGGAGATGCAGCTCTAAATTATGGAGGGCCCCCTAGGTCATTGTGCATTTAGTCAAGGGAGACGCAGAGTTTTTTTTATTTGACTTGTATTTTATCCAGATCACTCGGCTTCTGTGTCAAGGGTAGTCTGTAGGAATGCAGTGGTGGAAGCAGGGAGACCAGTTGGTGCCTGTTGCAAGAATCTGTTGAGAGATAATGATGTCTTGGACCAGTGTAGATCCAAGAGATAGGAGTGTAGAAGTGGTGAGGCATGGTTGGGTTGGGTTTGTGTTTTGATGGTGGAACTAACAGAAATTGCCAACAGAGTGGATAATGGAGTATGAGTTTGCTAGAGTTGCTATAACAAAGTAGCACAGACTGGGTGGTTTAAACAACAGAAATTTATTTTCTCACAGTCCTGGGGACTAGAAGTCCAAGATCAAAGTGTCAGCAGATTTGGCTCTTTCTGGGGGCCACGAGGGGAAGCATCTGTACAGGCCTCTCTCTTTGGCTTGCAGCTGGCCTCCTTCCTGCCTCTTTACGTGTCTGTGTCCAAATTTGCTTTAGTCACAGAGATGCCAGTCATATTGGATTGAGACCCGCCCTCATGATCTCATTTTCACTCAATTGCCATGTAAAGACCCTGTCTCCAAATAACATTCTGAGGTCTTAGGAGTGAGAACTTCAATCTGTGAATTTTTAGGGGGACACAATTCAGGCCTTAACATGGAATGTGAAAGAAGGAGAAGAATCAAAGTTGACATCAGGGGTTTTGGCCTGGTAGAGTGGTCATTAACTGAAATGGTGAAGACTGTAGGAGAAAATGCGTTCAATCTTGGAACATCAAATTTGACAACTAGATATCTAAGTGGGGACTGGCTTAGGACTTGACTAGGCAGCTGAATAGTCCTTTCCAGGGCTTAGGGCGAGACTGGAGCAGGAAACACAAATGTGGGAGTTGGTGGCATAGAAATGCCATTAAAATCAGGAGACTGGGCAAGATGGCCTGAGAGCAAGCGGAGGTAAGGAGGACCAAGAGGGAACCTTGGGTCCTACATCAAGAGGCCAGAAAGAAGAAAAAGACCCAATGAAAGAGGTTGAGAAAGAGGTAGGAGGTGACCCAAGGGTGTGTTTTTTTCTAGAAGACCATGTGTTAAGCAGGAGAAGTCAGGAAAGGTGATGGCTAATGATTGGCCATTGGATTTATATTCTGGGGTCATTGACGACCTCAATACGAGTAGCTTCAGCAGAGTTTTGGGGGCAAAAGCAGTGAATGTTCTAAAGAAAAGCAGATAAAGAGGAATTGGAGGAAGTATTAACACTTCTTTTTTTAAAGATTTTATTTATTTATCTGACAGACAGTGAGAGAGGGAACACAAGCAAGGGGTAGTGGGAGAGGGATAAGCAGGCTTCCTGCTGGGCAGAGAGCCCAATGCGGGGCTCGACTCTAGGACTCTGGGATCATGACCTGAGCCAAAGGCAGATGCTTAACAACTGAGCCACCCAGGTACCCCAAATATTAACACTTTTGAGTAGTGTCGCTGAAAGGAAAAGCAGGAAAATTACAAATGTTAAAAATATACATATTTTAATCTATAATTAGTAGATATTAGATATATGTATATCATGGCTCTATACAAAAATGTACCGAAAGTAACATTTATATATACATATATTTTATATACACATATATCCAGGTATGCACATATAAAAATACATATTAATCAGACAGGCTAAACATGGCTACTCAATTTTTTCCCGAGTGTGGTAGAAATGATGGTAAAAACAGGCTTGTGTTTGGGGTTTTTTTTTTTTGGGGGGGGGGTTGTCAATGTAGTACTAATTAATTGAAGCTTGGATTTTCTTTATTTCCAGGTTTAAGAAGTTCGATGACAAATACCTGCGGAAGCTTTTGATTCGCGAAAACCAACCCAAGTCAAGCATTGTGTCTTTATATAAAAAGCTTGAAATAAAACACGCCATCGAGATGGCAGAGACGGGGATGATAAGTACGGTTCCTTCTTTTGCATCTCTGAAGTAAGTACGGTCTTGCAAATAAAAGTACTACTAAGTGCGTCTTTATAGTTTTTTTAAAGCAGTCACGGTAACAAATTTCCTCTATGCCCTAGACATCCCAGAAGGACGAGATTCTGGTTAAAAAGTGAAGCCTAGAAACGTACCTTCTGTTATGTTACATCAGGTCCCATCATGTTGTGTTATTTTACAATTGGCTGGCCAGAAAATACCTTGTCATGTTTAGAGCAATTACGCCTTTGTTATATTTTCTTGCGGTAATTCATTGCTTTTGCAAAGTGCCTCTTCAGCAAGCATTTTGAAATGGAATATCTTAAGGTGTGTGATTGTAAGTATGCATGTAATTATATAGCTGTTTCCTCATAGATTATTTATCCAGTCATAGTTGAAGGCTTGCAAAGAACAGTCGTGATCACCTGGTACAGCGGTTCTCAACTGAGGCTGCACATTAAAAGTATCTTAGGAGCATTTAAATAATACAGATGTCCAGGCCCCGCCAACAGCAATAAACCCCAAATCTCTGGGGGCAAAGCCCAGGTATGGGTATATTTTCTTTCTAAGTTCTTCAGCTATTTCCAGTATGCAGTCAGGATTGGGAGCCATTGTTTTTTTCTGTCTCCCTAGTTTTAAAAATGAGGAAATGGAGATTCAGGGTAGTAAAGTGACTTATCCAAAATTTTAGAGCAAATCCATAGCAGGACAGTAACTGCTCAGTTAACCATAGGTCATTTTACCATGTAAACATCAATCCTTCCCTACCACAAAATGACAGAAATTATTGGTTCTGCTGATTTCTTCTTTCACTGATAAGCTTGAAGTACCTTTAAAATACATGTCACCTAATTAAAATACGATCTGTGGGAGAGCCGAAATGAGACATGAAATTCCAAATCACACCCAACCATATAAACTAGGCTTTTTACTAAGACTGTAAATCCCCTATTAAAAATATAGGAGTTTACACGATCCAGAAGAAAAAGAAACATGGTTAGGAGGGCTTGGAGGTACAGGCATTATACTGCCCTAAAAACAGTAGTGGTGTGAGCAGATTGACTGATTTATAGTCCCACCCTGCCATAATTCACCCTGTGACCTTAAGCTGGTTCATCTATTTCCCTGAGATCAAGTTTCTTCCAAGTGGAAAATGGGACTAGACTTGATCTTTGTTTCCCTCTAACTTTACAAGTTAACGATCTTTCTTATGCACTATTCTGTTTGCAGTTGTAACAAGGGATAATTCAATTATTCAGCTTCACAAAAGAGAGCCAATGTCCTTGTGATCACAGGAGAAAAAAAATCTTAGTTTTACTCCCTGTTTATACTTCATTTAGAAACTGGTAATAAGCAGAGCAAAGGTAAAGGTTATGGAAGTGGGAAGCAGAATTAATGGTCAGCTGCACAGTTAGATAAATGAGTACCATATTGAGTACCATATTCCACATCTCCTGAAATGTTTTCTTTAAAGGAAATTAGAAGCAAAAAGGGAGGTAATAAAGAATTGTATTTCTGGCAGTAATGCACTAAGTGTTTTAGACAGACTATCTTAGGAAAACAACTAGGAAAAAAAGAACCAAATATATTTTAAAAATTTGCTTAAAAGCTGGAAAGTACCAGGACAATGAGGAATTTCTTGGCTTAGAGTCAAAAGAAAAGGGAAGTCCAAGAAGATGGAACTGGCATTTGATGCCCTTTTCCCCCTGGATCACAGAGACATGATCTAAGAGTCTAAAAGGCTAAAACAGAAGTTTTGACAGACTGATTGGTCTTTGAGAATAAAATTGGAATTTAGGACCTACCAAGAAAGAAGAGCTCTTATGCTCAGCTATAGGTTGTTACTTTAGGATTCTACACCTTAACCCTCAATGGAAAGAAGTCTGACCTAGAATTATCTCAATCCATGATTGTTTACATCATCTGAGATCGATATTACTTTTATCCCAGCTGACTGAGAGAAATAAATTTAAATCTTCTCTGGAGGAAAATAAGATTATAAAGAGTCTTAAACTATCTCCATGATTTTTCATATATAATGTCTAGCAACCAATCAAAAACATATAAGTAGATAAGGAAATGCTATTGGAACCTTTGAGAAAAAGATAAACAAAAACAGTAGTAACAGACACACAAGTGGGTTTCAGATAGTTGAGTTAGGGACTTTAAAATTAAAAGTATGTTTAAGGATGGAAAATGGCATCAACAATTTTGACATTGTCATGGAGATGATATAAATAAAAAAGACCTAAATGGAATATATGAGCTAAAAATTAACTAAATTTGGGATCTCATTCAATAGTGTAAAAGATATGACACAGCTGTAGAGAGAATTGATTGATTGGAAGATAGGACAGAAGGAATAATCAGAATGAAGCATATAGTGAAAAAGACAATATGGAAACTATGGGAAACAAAGTAAGAAATATATGGGATATTATGAAATGTTCTGAAAGGAAATGAGAGATAAATTAGTAGGAATAGATTTTAAGAGATCATGACTGAACATTTTCCCAAACAGATAAAAGACATGAACTATGACAAGCCCCAAGCAGATTAAGTAAGAAGAAAACCAAAACCAAAGTCTAGTAAAATTGCTACAAGTCAAAAACACAAAGAGAAAATTTTAAACATAATCAGAGGAAAAAAGAGACCTATTTTCTTCAAAAGAGAAAAAAAAATACCTGACAACTTATTTTTCAACAAAAGCCATGGAAACCATTGGCATCCTCCAAATTCTGAAAGAAAGTGACTGATGACTTAGGAGTCCATATCCTGCTAAAATATTCTTAAAAAAAAAAAAAGGTAGAATAAAAATATTTTTAGATAGATAAAAAGCCATCATACTACATTGAATGATAAAATGTTTCAGACAGAAGGAAGAATCACCTAGAAGCTTTGAGATTAAGGAAGGAATTAAAATAATGGAAAAGATAAATATTTATAAAACCTAAATGAATAGTAATTGCATAAAATAATAATGTATGTGGGGTTTTGAGTGTAAATAGAATTAAAATTAACAACAAAAATAGCTTATAAATTGGAGGGAGGTGACTGGTGTTGTTGTATTCTAATATTGTAATCCCACATAACCACTGAAAAAGCAGTAAAAGAATGTAACAAGCTAACAGACCAGGGAAATAAAACAGCCAAATAAAATAAAATTTAAAAAGGCAACAGAGTAGAAAAAGCAAGTATAGAATAGAACAAATAGAATGCAAATATTAAGATGATAGCTTTAAACGCAAAGGTAATTACATTAAATATAAATTTATTCCATTTAAAAAGATGGGTGATCAGAATGGATGAAAATATACAACTCACTAGATGTTGCTTATAAGAGCTAGTGCTGTTATCTCAGGGTACAGAAAGTTTACAGGTGAAAGACTGATAAAAAGGTATCTTGTTGAAGCACTAAACAATAGAAAGTTTGTGTAATTATTTTCATAAAATGTAAACATTATGGGAAAATATTGCTAGGCATAAAGAGATTCATTTCATAATGATAAAAGGCTCAATTCTAAAAGTAGATAGAAAAGTCTAAATTAGCATACAAATAATAACATAACCTCAAAATATATAAACCCAAACTCAACAGAGCCATAAGCAGAAATACACAAACTCATAATCATAGTGGAAAATTGTATAGCTCTTCTCCTAGAAACTGACAGTACAAGTAGACAAACTTTCAGTAAAAATATAGAAGATTTCAACCACATAATAAACAACCAAGTCTTTAAAAGTTTCACACATATGTTCCCTTACCAGAAAGGAATCAAAAACAAAATAAAATCTAAAACAGTATAAAATCTAAAACAGTATAAAAAGTCAAATATCCCTTTACTTAGAAGTTAAATGAAAACTGAATCAAATAAATTATGATGTAAATCAGAAAATATTTTGAAAAGTATGACATATGAAAATATGTGTAAAACATTGTTTAAAGGGAATTTTTTTAACATTTAATAAAAAAACATTTTTTAAACACTTAATGTCACTTAATGTTAAAAAAAGAGTCAGGCTGAAAATCAGTAATCCATTCTAGGAACTTAGAAAAAGGAACAATAAATTAAACCCATAAAAGACCAGAAAATTTGAATAGTACTCAAGTATTAAGTTAATAAATCTGAGTTGAAATTGTTTCCACAAAGTAACCCCCAAGGCCATCTGGCTTTATTTGTAAATTCTACCAAACATTTAAGGAGGAGGTAAAACCAATCTTGCACAGACTTCTTCAGAAAGTAAGGAAAGATGGAAATCTTCCCAAATTGCCTTATGGGACTAGCATAATTTTGATCTTAAACCTGATATAGACACTTATACAGAAATAAAATTATATACAATATTTCTGTAAAAATTCCAAACATAATATTAGCAAACCCAATCCAGAGATATGTAAAAAGATATATATCAGAATAATTTTGACTTAGTCCAGGAATATAATGGTGGGTTAAAAGTAAAAAATCAATCAGTTGTTTGCCACTTTTACAGAATAAGAGAAGAGAAATCAAGGGTCATTATTTATCTGTAATCAAGGCAGAAAAATAATATGATAAAATTCGATATCTATTCTTGATTTTTAAAAAAAGTATTTTATTTATTTATGAGAGAGCGAGTGCGTGTGCAAGCAGGGGGAGGAGCAGAGGGAGAGGGACAAGCAGAGTCTGCACTGAGCTCAGAGCCTGACACAGGGCTCGATCTCACAACACTGAGATCATGCCTTGAGCCAAAATCAAATTGGACACTTAACCAACTGAGCCAGCCAGGTGCCCCTCTGTTCCTGATTAAAAAAATATATATATATACATAAATAGACTAGAATAGAAGAAATCCTTTCTCAAGCTGATAAAGTTTATTCATGAATTATCTGTGGCGAATAGTATTTTTAATGTTGAAATGTTGAGGGGTTTACCTTAAGATTGGAACACAGTTGCATATCATTATGATTTCTATGAATATTGTACCACTGTTAAGCAAAAAAAAAAAAATTGAAGATTAAAGATAGGAAAAGAAGGCTGTCATTATTTCCAAATACCTTGATTGTTTTCACAGAAAATCCAGAAGAATCTATGGATAAATAATTAGACATAATAAATTAATTTATCCAGGTTTCTTAATACATGGTAAAAAAAAAAATCAGTGGTAGTTTTCCTAAGTATCAACAAATAGAAAGTGACATTTAAAAAAATGCTTGAGGAGCACCTGGGTGTTTCAGTAGGTTAAGCCTCTGCCTTCAGCTCAGGTCATGATCTCAGGGTCCTCACATGGGGCTCTCTCTGCTGAGTGAGGAGCCTGTTTCCCCCTCTCTCTCTGCCTGCCTCTCTGCCTACTTGTGATCTCTCTCTGTCAAATAAATAAAACATTTAAAAAGAATAATAAAAATTAAAAAATGTTTGATTCAGAATAGTATCATGAAACATATATATCGGTATCAAACATCAAAATGTAATTTAGCGAATATGTGTGAAGCCTCTCCTCAGAAAGTCCAAAACAGATAAAGACTTTATTAATAAAAAGAAAGACTCAATATTATAAGATTTTCAGTTCTTCTCAAATTGATGTATGGATCCAAAGCAATTTTATTAAAAATCCCGTGTTTGTGTGTATCTGTGTCATTAGACAGTCTGGTCCTAAAATTTCTGTGGAAATGTAAAGGGCCCAAATTAACCAAGACAAAATTGTCTTCAAAGCTGAAGAACAAATTTGGAGGATTTATACTATTAGGTAGCAAGACTTTCTATAAAGCTCCTGTGACTGAGACAGTGGGATACTGAACAAAGACAAAATGACAAATAGACCAGTGGAACAAAGTAAGAGTTTGGAAGAGACCCACACATATATGAATAATTATTAATGTCAAAGTTTATAGCACAAAGCTGTAGGGAAAAGATGGCCTTAAAATAATGGCCCTGGGTCAGTTAAGGATCCATATGGAGATTAAGTGGAATTGAATACAACTTCACAGTATATCAAGCCAATGAGTATCATAGGTATGCATGGGAGTGGGGAAACAATAAAGCTTTTATTATATGAGAGAATTATATTATATATCTCATATATAAAATCTCATATATATATTAGGTATTTTATCTCATATATATTATATATCTCAAATATAATTTATAAATATAAATTATATATTTCATATATATTATATAGCTCATATATATTATATGTCTTATATATAAAATCTCATATATATTATATATCTCATATATAAAGCTGTATTATATTATATATCTCATATACAAAATTATATGAGAGAATATCCTGTTACTGTTGTGATAGGAAAATATTTCATTAAAGGAATGAAAACACAAACCATGAAATGGAAGATGATACTTGCCTCACAGAAAACTAAGAAAGATCTAAAAAAAAAAAAAAAAAAGATAGTCCCATGGAAAAATGGACAAGAGATTTGTTCAGGCAGTTTACAAAATAGGATATCCAAATAGCCAATAATCATATGTGTTCCAAAATATGGGATAATACAGAGGAATCTCTAACATGATGCCAAACAAAAGAAGCGAAATTTAAATGATTACTTACTCTAAAAAAATAAATACATACCTACATAAATAAATAAATAAATAAATAAATAAGATTACCTATTGTAGTAGTAGGTACTCTCCATTTATATAGTTAAGACTCCATTTATGTAGAGTTCAAATTCAGGTACAACTATTCTGTCAGCTCAGAAGTTAGGATGGTGGTTGTTTTGTCAAAGAACAGGGAGGTAGAGATGGTTGGGGGGTGAAATATGATGTGGTTTCTGGGGTTTTAGTCCATGTTCTGTTTTTTGACTTGGGTAGCAGTACATTCGCTTTGTGATAGTTCATTGAGCCCCACATGTAAGATTCATGTACTTTTCTCTTTTGAATTATATTCCAGTAAAATATATTTTAAGTATAAACAAGGGAGGTATTTGTGCACTTATCGCTAGAGTTATACAAACATTTGTTGGATAAAACCAGAATATCAGATCCCTAAAAGTTGGTCCTCTTGACCTTCTAGTCCTTCTAAAATTCTGTGAATTAACTTAGCTGATCAAAAAACCCTATTAGAAACCTGGACAGCTGTCCAAACAACAATGCCTCCGTCTAAGAAGATGCTTCCTAAAAACTCATCCATGCAATTGAGGTTGAGGCAAAAATGAATCATGTATAGTTAGTTAGGCAAGTCTGTTCTGCTGAAGCCTTAGATTTCTGCATTCATTCCTTTGTGTTTCTCCATTACCCTTTGGGCATAGGTAATTAATATTATACTTGTTTTTCAGTAACAAGTTTGCTTTAAAACAAAAAATAAGAGAACTGTGCTCTTCAATTGGTATGTCCTTAGCCCATCGTCCTTAAGACCTGCATTAATGTATATTAACCTTCTCAGCTTTAATTTTTCTTCTTATCTATGTATTTTATTGTACTACATATTTTTGTAGGTCCCCTCAAAGCCTTTTTGAAGCAGTTAGAATAGAACTGTATAAATACAGTTGGCTCTCATTGTTGGCAGTAGTTATGTTCTATAAAATTGCCATGAATGCAGATTTGTGAATACCAAATGCTTGCTCCTAGGAGAAATGCAGGTTTAAGTCCTTAAGAGCCTCTGGCCCTGAAGACATTTTCCTCAACCAGCTGATACATAACTTGTTTTATGTATGTTTCCATTTAAAGACACACCCTATTATTTATATTTTTATATATATATACGTATATATGTATATATACATATATACGTATATATATACACATGTATACTAAGCAGAGATATCTATATATATATATAGATATATATATCTATATATATATATATATCTGACATGGCTTTTCTCTGGAAGGCACATTACAGCTTTTGCTTGGGAATGTTTGACAACACTTCAGACCTACACTTCAGGGCCATTTTAAGCAGTGAAGTCACCAAACGAAGCACAACCGTTTGGAAAATGTGTCATTAAATAGACCATGGAAAAGACATTTGTTTATAGTACAGGAGCTGAAACAAGAAGGCAGAACATCGCCATGTTCAGCCTCATCTAGGAACCTGTGTTTTGTGGAACTCAAATTTTCCCCCACTTTGCACATGTGTATGAAAAAGTGTTCTGAGTATTGGCACTGTGTTTATAAATAAATTTTAGCAAGTAGGTGACTTTGACTTTGCAAATATGAAATCCTTGAATAATGATGATTGATTGTATATACCTACCTATTATAAACAGTGTCTTTGCAGATACTTTTAATGAAGTGTTTAAAAGAGTAGGCCTAAATAGCAGAATGTAGAAAATTAAGTTTCTGTTGGAACAAAACCCAATTGTGTATTACCATCTTAAGGAGTATTAAAAATAATAAAGTGATAGCATTATAAGTTACTACAGTTTTTCTTCCTTAAAAAATACTTGTGTGAAAAAAAATAATTTCATGAACAGACTGAAAACTTGGGCACAATTAAACTCATTTTGAATAATTTTGACACTGAAAAGTTTTAGAGTTTAGAGTTATTTTAAAATATTGAATATTCCTTAAGTGTATTCTTTAGCTAGGATTCTTAATCTTAAATGATATTCTTCTTAAATGATATCATATCTCCAAAAAGGAAAATTTAGGATTCCAATGTTTGTTGCATAGTAAAAGATACTCTTTTTCTAACTTTTCATAGTGATTGTCGTGAAGAAAAAATAAGGAAGCTCACGCCTGGTGAAATGGATGAAATTCGAGAAATATTATCCAGAAATCTCTATCAAATCCGTCAGCGAGTAAGAATAATCTATTTATTTATTTATTTATTTATTTATTTATTTATTTATTAAGGATTTTATTTATTTATTTGACAGACAGATCACAAGTAGGCAGAGAGGCAGGCAGAGAGAGAGGGGGAAGCAGGCTCCCTGCTGAGCAAAGAGCACGATGTGGAACTCAATCCCAGGACCCTGAGATCATGACCTGAGCAGAAGGCAAAGGCTTAACCCACTGACCCACCCAGGCACCCAAGAATAATTTATTTAGAAAACTATTTCCTTGCCTTTGGCTAAAAATATGCTTCCAATTGTCTGCTACTCAGTTGTAGCAGAGATTTCCCAACAGTGACAACAACCTTTTTGCACGTCCTGCACGAGGCATCTTCTCTTCTCTGAGAGTCCTATCCTGTTAAGCCCTCTCAGACGCTATGGGGAAAGGATAAGAGTCTTCCAGGAGTTCTGCTTCTATGGATTTGGAGATAAAAGCATCTGAGTTAACTAATTGTGGCTCTCTTTTAATTTTTTTTTTGAATGAAATAGCTTTATAACTTACAGAAAACTTACAGCTTTAAGAAAACTTTAAAAATGTATTTAATCTTCCTTGTTATTCATTAAGTGCTATAGTTTCTTCCTTTAATGTATCTCCCGAGTGACTTCTTTCATTGCTGTTCCATTGTTTTCTTTTTTTTTTTAAATAAAGATTTTATTTATTTATTTGAGAGAGAGAGAGAGATAGAAAGTACAAGCTGGGGGCAGAGGAAGAGGGAGAGACAGACTCCCCCCTGAGCAGGGAATCCTATGAGAGCCTCGATCCCAGTACCCCAAGATCATGGCCTGAGCCTTAACTGACTGAGCTACCCAGGTGCCCCTGCCGTTCCATTACTAACACTTCATTCTACCAATTGGCTAATAATATAGCTAACATTTCGAGAATACATACAGTTGGCCGTGCCCCATTGCAACATGTATTAACTCAATCCTCCAAGGGGTGTTACTCTTGTTTCCATTTTATAGATGAATAACTTAAGATACAGTGTTGGGGGAAGGTGTCACACAGTCCACATGGTCTGTCAGGAGCCTTCCTCACTCATGTTGGGGTCATTTCTGTACTTTCTTGCTGGTCTCCCCAAAGACTGTCCTCATGCCATCACTCATTACTCTTGCTCTGCCTTTTTCCCCAGAGCATGTTTAATGGCAGCATTCTCCTACTTAAAATGAAACAAACAACAGTTATCGCTTATAGGCTAAACTCTTCTTACAGAATTTGGGGTCTCTGATTCCCAGTTCCACTGTGGCCAACCTTACATCTCCCTCTTGTCCCCCAAATACCCAAGTTCTGTCTTTCTTCCTTGGCCTGTTCCTCTCTTCTCTGTCTCCACTTGGAACGGCCCACGGGTTCCTGTCAGCTGCCCCATATCCTGCACGTTTTCAGGTTTCCTCAAAACCTCCATATTATTCCAAGCCCTTTCAATGGGATAGCACTTGGAGCTCATCCCATGCCACACAGTTTTAGCATTTCAGGATTTATATTATTATGTTAGCCTTTGATGTCCAACTAGCGAACACATTTCTCAAGGCGGGTTTTGAGCCTTATTCTCTGTCCCTTTCACGGTTTCTTCAAGATTTAATATAGTTCAGGACACAGGGATATTTCCAAGAAATACATATTTATTCTATCAGAAATTGAACTTGATGACTAATTGCAATTCATTTTAGGAAACTTATAAAACTAAAAATGCATACCATGCACAGCCCTGGTCTAGAAATTTTTTTTTTTAAGATTTTATTTATTTGATAGAGATCACAAGTAGATGGAGAGGCAGACAGAGAGAGAGAGGGGAAGCAGGCTCCCCGCTGAGCAGAAAGCCTGATATGGGGCTCAATCCCAGGACCCTGGGATCATGACCCGAGCCGAAGGCAGAGGCTTTAACCCACTGAGCCACCCAGGTGCCTCCTGGTCTAGAAATTTTACTGCTCTAAATACCAGCACATGGTTATCCCTAATTCTAGCAGCAGCTTTTTTCAGTTTGACTACCTAGTTGAAAAGAAGGGTTTGGAAGTTAATCAAAAGGACATGGCACCACCAAGTGGCCCAAAGTGGTTTGTCTTTATACCAGTAATTCCTATTCAATAGAGAATGTATAAAGATGAATTCTGTTCTTTCCCCAGCTGTTAATGATGGCTACATACATACAAAGTAGTTCAAGGTAGACAGAAGTACTTGATGAATTCCATCATTCTTCTGATTTATGAAGATCACACTTCTCAGTGAAAAATAACTTACAAACTTTTATTAGAAGACAAGAGCTTTCAAATTTTGAACAAATGTTAACTTTTTTCCCCATGTGTGTTAACTCTTGTGCTTTTTATTTATTTTTCTGCTCTGCACATTCATTAAGTGCCTCACTCAGGTGCAAAATCAAAGCAACCTAGTAACGTTTTGGAATCTCTGGGGTAGTAATCTGTTTTTCTTGTAAAATGTCTCCTGTGTTTTCGTTTCAGACTCTGTCCTACAACAGACACAATCTGACGGCTGACACAAGCGAGCGACAGGCCAAGGAGATTCTAATCCGACGGAGGCACAGTTTGCGAGAAAGTATCAGGAAAGACAGCAGCTTGAACCAGGAGCGCAGGGTAACTGTTGTTTGTTACCATTTGTCTGGGACCAGGAAGGCTTCCAAGAATAGAACCAACCAACTGCCGTTCTGGAGGTCCTACTGACAGAATGGCCGGCTGAGGGTTGATTCACAGGAATTCTGGGATGGAGTTAATTGTGTGAAGTTTTTCTAGATGTTTCTAGAACACCTATTGTGTTCCAGGCACTGTTGTAGGCACTTGTGGGTGAATGAAACAGACAAGGCTACCTATGTGTAGGCCCAGCAATGGAATGTGTTATCTGTTAAGTTAGTAGGCAGTGAGTGCTTGAGGAGGGAGATGGGGAGGACAGGAGGACAGAAAGAGGACAGGGAGGTCAGTCAAGTTACAAATTTAAGCAGCATGGCTGGACCAAGCTACATTTGGAAAGTCCTATTTGATCTCCTCAGGGAGAGGTTGCAAGCCGCTTGTGCTGGAACTGCAGAATCACAGCAGCTGGGGGTGCAAGTGTCCACCTTTTCATTTGGCCCAGGGCACTGTCAACAAATAAGGAAAATCATTTTTAAATGACATTATGATTGATTGATTTCACAAAGCAGACATTGCATCTTAGCATTTTTTTTTAATTTGAGTATAATTGACACACAATGTTGCATTAGTTTTAGGATTGCATCTCATTTTTAATAATATTCACTATTGGGTCATCAGAGACCAAAATGGTAATATGTGAACAAGAAGATTATCTTTTTTTTTTTTATGTGAAAATGTGGAAGCACTGATTAAGTTAAAGAAAGTAGAGATTGTGGCATTTGAATTGTGGGCTAATCAGCTATGGTAATATTTTTCATTCTATCATTTTCAAGACTTACTAAATTAAAACAAATATGCTACATTTTTCATATATTTTCTTCCCATATATGTAGGTTCTACTTTTTTTTTTAGTAATGCTCTTATAAATAAGTGTCTCTGTAGCTTCTCTTTAAGAAGACTCGATGGTTTTCCTTATTATTTCATTATTCTTATTTCTAATGGTCCCACTTTACTTTCATTTTCATTAATATTGATTTCTATTTTATTTTTAGAAGAGAGTTAGTTTTTTGAAGGGAAATAATTATTACTTGGAACTTTATTCACCATTCCCACAGCCCCTCACAAAGTGATTTTGGAATAGAGAAGTACAAATTTAATTTTTAACATCAGGGTTTGATATAAGATTTTAAATTTCTGGTACATAATAAATGGTAACTGCAGAGTCTAAGTAAGATTTTCCATGTTTTCCACAGGCGTCCACTTCAACTTCTCGATACTTATCCTTACCAAAAAATACAAAGCTTCCAGAAAAGCTTCAAAAGAAAAAGAATATTTCTAATGCAGGTAATGAATTTAGTTGGAGCAGAATGATTAAATTTATTAACTAATGTTCATAAAATAGAGAATTTCCCCATCCTTTTTCTTCATGAAGGACAATGAGCTTAATGATTTGCAAGCCTAAAATAATAATATGGTGACTTATTATTAGCATCATAAGCTTTTTGGATGGAGCTTCTGTACACATTATAAATAACTGAGTCCATTATTTACCATAATGATTCTATTGGATATAGCAAAAGCAAGTGTTGTCACCTGTGATCAGTGAACAGGTAAACAGAAATAATTTATAAATTTATAAATTTGCAAAGGTATATTTAAATTTTTACAATTTTCATCTATTTTCATAAAGGGAGCCATAAATTTTACTTCTGCCCCAAATCATTAAAGCTTTGACATATAAAGTCTAAATATCTCTTTATTTAATGATAATCTTTATGTAGACGCCAAGCCATTTTCTGTGAACCCCAGGAGCAGTATATTAGGATACCATGTTATTAAAATGTAGGATGTTAGGGTAACCCCCTTTTATTTTTGGTTGTTTATTTAATTAACCAAGAAGAGGAAAGTCTAATGTCTAACCTGGTGGTGACAGGTGAGATGAGAAATGAGAAGGGAGGCCAGGCAGCATGCATCCACCAAAACACTCTTTCGTCCCAAGAATCTCAGCTCCCATCTGCTGTCCTCCCCACAGTTCTCTAGGACCTGAATTTTGACAACCAGCTAGTTCTGATCACGTGTCTTCCCCCTGTTTGGAAAGTGTGCATTGGTATTTCGGCCCTTATGAAAACATAAAGGAGAGAAAGAAGGTTGTCTCTGAGATTCCAGATCAAGACACGAATTTTCAGAATAGCAGCTAATTGCTGGTCTGCTTTCTGTGTGCCAGACATAGACCAGAGCCCTCCTGGGGTTGTTCTGATGGGGCAGGTGGGAGCACAGCGGCTGCTGCCCGAGAGTCTCACTTTGAGAGCCAGTTCCACTGCTTACTAATCTCCTGAACTCCAGTTACTTCCTCTGGCAAATGGGTGATTACGAGGATTGAATAGGTAAATGCATTTAAAAGAGCTTATCGTGACAGTTGCCTGGTACACATTAAGCCCTTCACTGTGGGTGTGCACATTCAACATGAACGTCCACAGAGACTGTTACGTCCAGGTCTGTGGGCTATAGGTAGTGAGCCCTCTGATCCCCGCCCCCCCACCCAGCCCCCCAGGGCCTGAGGGCACAGCAGGTGCTGGATCGGCTCATGCATTGCTGAGTCACTTCCAATCCCTTCTCTCTGACACACTTGCCCACGTTGTCCTTCTTCTGCTCTGTGGTAGGCGGCAACAGCAGTGACTCGGACACAGATGCTGGGACCACCGTCCTCAATCTGCAGCCCCGAGCAAGGCGCTTCTTGCCAGAACAGTTCTCAAAGAAAGGCCCCCAGCCCTATAAGATGGAATGGAAGAATGAGGTAGACGTTGATTCCGGACAGGGGCAGCCTTGTGCCCCCCCAACTCCCCACAGCAAAGAGGGGGGCACCCAGACCCCAGGCATGCTACGGCAGCCCCTTCTCTCCAAAGGCCAGTTTGGCCCCGTGAAGGAAGACAGTGGGACTGAAGGCGTCCTACCTAAGCCACCACCCAGGCTGGTCCGAAGGGCATCAGAACCTGGCAACCGGAAAGCCCGATTTGGAAGTGAGAAGCCTTAATGGAAATGGCCAAAGCAGAACTGGGATGACTGACCCAGCGCGGCTGGGATTTGTTACTCTGAAATCTGACACAACAGTGGGATCCATTTAATACCCTCTATGCATCTAAATACTTTCATTGGGTAGTAGAGTCATGCCATTGACTGGCGGGATGAATGCTTAACCCAAGAAGAGGAAAATCAAAGAAAAAAAGCCTCATAAAATGCCTTTTATGACTTCTTGCTAGCACTTATATTCTTCGCAATCCTAAAGAAAAAAATTGTGTGCCTTTATTGAACTTGAACGACAGAACTTGAAGTTTTTAACACACCCATGTTGGTGAAAATTTTAATATATACATATATGCCTCAAATTTTATTTATGAAAACCTATGTATATCTGTAATCAGTTTGTAAGCGAAGGGCGTTAAAAATACTCTACATCTTTCCAAGGCGTAAAGGGCAGCTCTGGGAGGACCATGGACCATCTGCTCAGAGCCAAGGTGTTTTCCCATCCTGAGCTGATGAGTGATGGGTAAAGGAAGAGCACAGCATGGAGAAGGGATGCCTGGTGAACTCAGACTGGGGAGGCAGTCAGAACGTTTGGGCAGATGAGAAGGCCTGGCTCCCACAATGCAGATTCCCATGAAATAATGAGTCAGCTGGATTTAATTTGTTCCTCATGCTACCGGAGTTTGAGGGTGACCTAGAGATTCCATCTCTTGTGTGTGTTTGAATGGTGCAAAGAGAAAGGCTGTGTGGGTGACACGGTGTATGACAGACGTGGTGGCAGCTTTGGATGAAGTTCCAGCGTGTGGGCCTTATGGTGTATGTGGGGAGACAAGGCAGCCGCTTACAACTTGGCAGGTTTTACATTGTGCAATACTGGGAGGAGGATGCAGGAGATTCCCTTTCATGCCCATCTATGACTACCTGCTATAGAATTTTTCTGTAGAACATTCTATAACTTTGAAAACAGATCAGAGGCTCCAAGCAGTCATTTTTTATAGACAGTATTCCAATGTTTAACAAATTGGTGAGAGTTCAGGTTTTGAAATTTATTCAGGAAGCACTTTGGAGACAACAGGAGTTGTATTTTTTTTCTTTTTTGCACTACTCTATAATTTATCTTTTCGCCCCTCAATAAAGTAGTGACTGAAATTCTTTATATAAAAATGGATGCTACTCATCTGAGTACTTTTTAAAAGTACAGCAGAAAGACAAGAAGTGGAATATAATCATTAAAGATTAATATTTGAATTTCCATCTTAAACTGTAGATTTTATTGGCCTTTTCTTCCTCCCTGAAAATTCCTCTTTAAAACTGAACTGGAGGGATGCCTGGGTGGCTCAGTCATTAAGCATTTGCCTTCAGCTCATGTCATGATCTCAGGGTCCTGGGATCAAGCCCCACATCGGGCTCCCTGCTTGGCAGGAAGCCTGCTTCTTCCTCTCCCTCTCCCCCTGCTTCTGTTCCCTCTCTTGCTGTTTCTCTGTGTGTCAAAAAAATAAATTTAATCTTAAAAAAACAAAAACAAAAACAAAAACTGGACTGGAACAAGACCCTAAATGTCTGGGTTTAAATACAAGTGAGGCCATGCATACAGTCCCCTCGTTGTGCATTGGAGATGCAACCAAGGATACAAACAACCACAGTATTGTTAGTGGGAAAACATTAATGAATTTGACTATACCCAGAAATCCCCAGGGCTGTTTGTCCTATTCTCTCCCTTTAACCCCACCAATGTGGAGAAATAAATCTACCCTTTCTCTTATCTTCCACAGTCTTGGGATACTGCTACGTTGGGCGTGAGGCAGAGGGAAAGATAAACGCACAAGGTACAAGTGTATGAAGAGCACAATTTCCTTCCCAAACTCTTCCATGTTGATCAGTGAAGGCAGGACAGACACCATTTGAAAACTGTAAGCTTAGGACTCTGTGCCAAGTATCTTAATTTTAAATGAAAATATTTATATAAATAAATATATATAATATTATATCTATTTCCGCCTGAAAGAAATTAAAACTGACTTTTAACTTAGAATTTTATTATAGGAGTGTGATTCATCAAGAGATGGGATATATATTTTTGAGAATGCCGAGAGTAAATTTTTATAACTTAATGAAAAGAAAGTTTAAAGTGGAAATTGACCTTAAAAATACATTTCCTGATTTTTTCTGGTATCCTAGAATAATAAATATTATAATAGATATTATAATTTTCTGGAACCAAAGGAGAAAACATGGAAGTTTTTATTGAATTTCTTCTTGTTAAGCAGGTAGACCAAATTCAGCTTGCACTGATTAAAAGTCATAAAGAATTTGGTTGACACTGTATGAACTAAAAAAAAAAAAAGAGTACTTACGTCATCTTATTATCAGTTTAATTTTCATATTTGTTAGATGACAAAAGCAATGAAAAATAAATTTGACTTCATTTTGCTTTTTCTCTATACTTTTTTCAAATAAAATTATTAAGTTCTAGACATTATAGGAGAAAATATGAAACCCTTTAAATATCAAAAGTCCAAATTTCCTGTCCTACAGAAAATCCCCAACCCTTTGTAAATGACTCCCCTGATTCAAGTAATACTTGATCCAACCAAAGTTCCAGTGTGACTATAAAATTTTGATGGGTCTTTGGTATTTGTTGTAACAAATTTGACTTGAACTACCTATAAACGCAAAGTCTAGGCTTATTTCTTTACCTGTAATGCTACGGGCTGACTGTTGGGAACAGGACAGTTAGTGAGCAACTAGAAATTGGCTCCAAAGTTCATAAGTTTAAAAAAATGTGCATTTTGTGTACAAGCTCCCAGAATATCTGGGACGAAATTCCCTTTGGCATTTACTAAGCTTTGTAGTGGGGGAGGGGAGTGTTTATTTATATAAAGAGCATAGAGAAGTTATTTATTACATGTCTCAGTATGTTTTCCATTTGTCGTACTGCCCAAATCATGTTTATGTTAAAACTGGCATTTTATAAACAAATGTAAGAACTGTAATATTGTTAGTTTGAAGTTCACACTTACTTTCCTCTCCAAAGAGTGATTAAAGAGATTTCTTTGGTGGAAGTAGGTGTTGGCATGATCTGCCCAAGCCTGAACATTGTATGTTGATTCCCTTTGTTAAGATGAACGAGGAACGCTCAGGACTCAACTGTTGGATGATCTGAGAGAGAGAGAGAGAGAGTGTGTGTGTGTGTGTGTGTGTATAACTTTGAGAGCAAAATGTGTAGCTTGCTGGTACTTTATATCCAACGTCTTCACCAGGCCCTTTCTTGAATCTGCTTGTAAGGCATAGAGAACCCCCATCGGGGTAAGTGCTGCCTGGCTGTGACCACAGCACTTTGTTCAAGAGAAAAGACACCTTCCTTTAGATTTTTTCCAATGTCATTCACTCTACATGTGGCTGACCCCCTCAAATGTGGTCACCCCCTGCAGATGTGCGGCCGAAGCACCCACATGGTTAGTTTTGAACATCTTCTTTAATGTTGCAATGGTACATAGTTTTTTGATCCCTTCTATCTTCTAACTTCCTACAATTTTTTCAAAGAAAATTCTATTTTACTACCTCTAAAAATAGTCAAGAAATACCGGTCAGTTCTCTTACCTGTCTCGTCAGAGAAATAGGTGTTTCTTTGTCTAGAGTTAATATATCTGCTGTCAATGGATTATCAAATTTTTGATCTGCATAGCGTATTGATGATTTTGAAAGGCTGAGAACCGACTTCAGGGGTTTCATGTTACAGATGTTTCATGGGGATCTGTTATCCTTGTGTTGTGCAGTATGGAAATGCCCTGTCCAGTAGACAGAATGCCAACAAAACACCCTGAATTAAATATGCAAATGTTTTTCTTCTCCCTCTTTTTTAATTTCACTGGGTCCTGTTATGTCATCACTACACGTGGTAAAAAAAATTTGCAATTTAAAATGAGGGCTCTCTGCATCCAGCATTTGGTAATTATGCTTGCCAAACAGAAATTTTATGTATGTATACCAACAAAGAATTTCTCTTGGTTTCTGTGAAATGTACAAAAATTTAAGTGTTGAATCAGTATGGAGTGGAAACATTTAATGGAATAAAGATAAAGATATTTAATCACTATTGATAAAATAATGCATCACGAGAAATAAGGACAGCACCCCAATTTCGATTTTTGCATTTATATATCAAAACCATTTTCATGTGTGCTAAAATGGAGTCATGATACCTGGAATTTGTGAAAGTAAGAATTTAAGAGTATTACAAATATCAGTTGCTTTAGCTTCAAATATACATCATATCTCCAAACAGGGATAACATTGTTAACTGTGTTAAAGAAACTCAAATGATGATTATAACTGGCCCATTAATTTTCTCTATGTAAGCAGACCCTTGTAAAGGGTTCAAAAATAATGCATGCCTTGGAACATTCATGCTGCCTTCCCAAGCAAGACAAATTAGGTGGATGCCATCAACTGTCCTACCAAACTTATGGTAAAATTTACAAGAGTATGCAGGGTTCTGTACCAACACATCAAATTTTTAGGTTTTCACTAACATATAGTTTTTGGCACCTACTCAACACCGTTTACTGTATTTGCTACCATAATTATGTACCCCTGTCGGGCATCCAGGTCAAGTCCTTACCTTTAGCTGGAGAATGAGTTTGAAAGTGTTACAATTTGACATACTTTCTTGTTTTGTTCATTCCTAGAAGATGGCACAGTGAAGGTGCTCTGAAGGTAACCAGGAGAAAATGCTCGCTCTTCTCCATGTCATGACCGCCTGGCACTGTCAGAAGTTGGCTTATGATGCCAGGGCCTATGTTCCAGCCCAGCCCACAACACAGACCAGGGCAAGCCCGGGTCATGTACCCATTCATGTGCACTCAGATCCGAGGGCCAGGCTCCATAGACAGCAGCAAACGCGTTTATTACATCAGGTTCATTCTGGAGAGTTCATGTGGTTTCAGTTTCATTAGGCAAACTCAGGATAGGTTTAGGGGTAAGGTATCCCACGGGGGAAAAAAAAAAATTCTCAGTCTGGGTAAGCACCTGAGTCCCAGTGATTCAAAATAGAAGAGATTCTTTGATAAGCCTAAAGAAAGGTCATCTCCTATTCAATGTTGTAAACTGCAACTATTCATAGGTATTTTAACTATTTTTCCCTCCACAGTGTATGCTTTGGAAAAAAAAAAAAGCAGATTTTTATTTATCAGGATGTAGTATAGTTTACAACAAGGCTGATCAAAATACAGTATTTTTAATTCAAACAAGGTCCTTAGTCCCCTTTTATGCTATAGTTTATGCTATGTAATTATGGGTAATAATTAACACCTCCTTCCTTAATGTTTATAATTATCTTTTCCCCTTGAGGAACAGTGCAAGCTGTTTGAGAGTATCCAATTCCAAATTAAAATCAGTATTATCTCTTACAATGTACTGAATCAGGAAAACAGAAATAGTCTATATTGTGTTCGTACACAGCTGTCTGTGAAGTGGTGAGTTTAGGTGATCTGTTTGGGAGAAATGAGAAATCTTACCGTAAAATATTGTGTTAAAATAAGTTAGTATTTGTGTATCTGATTAAGTAAAAATAAATCCTACTGATGAGATGTCATCTTAAAACAATTTCCTTGCCAAAGATGTGCAATAAATTTCAGATTATGTATACATTTGGTATTAGCATATGGTTTGAAAAGCCAAATGCTTGTTGTTCTTACTACTAGGACGCGTTTTAGCATAACTGGAGGTTAACATTTCCCAGTGCTTCTGGACCCCGACTTTACATATACAGTCAGGATGCAGCAACAGCTCCTAAAAATTACACTCAGAATAAATGATAACACTTTGTTATAATTTTAAAGGGACTGTATTATTAAAGAAAATTATTACCACATAACTGGCAAAGTTCTTTGGGAAAATACAATTTTAGGACAGAAAAACTATTTTTCTCAGTCGATCACCCTGTTCTGAGAAGAGCTACATTATACATCATCCTGGCTAGATCTGTGGGAATCTTATTTCAGAGACTTCTGGAAGGCTAAGGTTTCCAGAGGGAATAGGACATGGGAAATCACCATGCTGGCTTTTACTATACATTCCAAATAAAAAGCTATCCCTTCTAGCAGGTGCCCCAAAGCCGGAAATTTCCCCTAAGCGGATCGACTCCCCTGGGGCTCCCCCACGGCTCCCCCACAGGTGTCTAAACTTCTTATAAAAGTGTCCCACAGAAAAGATGTCTCCTAATATTCAGGACATGCAGAGAACAATCTCTCATAATTGCCCACACATGTTCTCTTACAGCTAACGGAGGACGGGGCAGAATGTCTCAACACTCATTACTAGCTAACCTTGTCTAAGCTCTACCACCCAGTGCCTCCCCAGAGGTCACAAGCTGACGGTCCCCAGGCCTTTCAGATTTCGTGCCCTACCTGATTCCCTCAGTGCCTGTGACTTCTCCCTCCCATTCCTCTTGGATGACTGCCCTCGAGGGATCTTTAACATCAAGTGCACAGAGCATTCACCAGCATGAATTCTTCAGTGGCTCCCCCTCAGCTGTGGGAATAAAAGCTCACTCCTGAGCATGGTCCATGAACTCCTTCACGATCTAACTCAGGGACTCTCACCTCTGGGGCACTCTGGAGTCTGGTTCTAGAGGTCTAGGGCAGGCTCTGGGCTTCAGGTGACTCTACTATGAAGCCAGAACCACTGATTCTTGCCCCTTCTGTTTGCTGCAGGCATAACTTTTGACCCACACACTTGGGCTTTAGAGCCTTGCCCATGTTACTGCCCTGGCCAAACATGCCTCACTCCCTTTCTGATTTCTGCTAACCTCTCTGGACATGAGGGCAGAGGTATACCATCCTTCCAAAGTCTTCTAGAACCCAAAACCCTGAGGCTCATTCAAAAAACTTAGCAGTTGGGGCTAGTATAATGCTGAAAGGATGCCATATCCTTTATAATCTTCTGAGGCAAGTTCAATGCCCGTAAAATAAGATTCCATATATTATGAAGTTGAACTATGTGAAACTGCAGGTAATTTTGACCTAGAAAAGTAGCAATTTCATGTGGCTCAACCTAAATACTTTGGACATTATTATGGAAGTTGCTCAGGGACTCAAAAACAAAACAACACAAACTTTAGTGGATCAGATTTAATTTCCCTGAGATCATAGTCCATAAATTATACAAAAACTGTCTGCAGACCAGTGGTTTTCAAAGTTTACTGTGCACACAGAGCAGCTGGGGATTTTGTTGAGAATGGTTCCCAGCAGGTCCGTGCTGGGGTGTGAGTGCATGTTTAACAAGCTCCAGGGGAATGTGGACGCTGCTGGTTCTGGAACACACTTCAGAATATCCACACATCAGACATTTTAAGAAGAGGTATAAGGCATACATCAGAGATACTGTGGCCAGGTTCCCGACCACCGCGATAAAGTTAAATATTGCAATGAAGTGAGTCAAATGAATTTTCTGGCTTCCTAGTGTACATTAAAAATTATGTTTATACTATACTATAGTCTATTAAATTTATAGTAGCATTATGTCTAAAAAACAATGTACATACCTTAATTAAAAAGACTTTATTGCTAAAAAATGCCAACCACCATCTGAGCTTTCAGCAACTGGCAATCTTTTTGCTGGTGGAGGGTCTTTTCTCAGGGTTGAGCAGGGTGGTGGTTGGTGAAGGCTGGGGTGGCTGTGGCAATTTTTAAAAATAAGACAACAAGGAAGTTTGCCACATCGGCTGACATTTCCTTTCACTTGAACACTTAAGAGGCCACTGTAGGGTTGTTAACCAGCCTGACTTCAATATTTTTGCATTTCAAGAAACAGAGAGAGGGCCAAGGTGAGGGCAAGAGGTGGGTGACCAGCCAGTTGGTGGGGCTCTTGGAACACATACGCTTATGGATTAAATTCACCCCCTTATAAGGGTGCGGTTCATGGCACCCCAAAACAATTCTAACAGTAACATCAAAGATCACTGATCACACATCACCATAGCAAATATAATGAAAAAGTTTGAAATATTGTGAGAATTACCAAAATGTGACACAGACGCAGAGGGAGCAAATGCTGGTGGAAAAACGGTGCCAATAAACTTCTCAACACATGGTTGCCACAAGCCTTCAACTGGTTAAAAAAATAATAATAATGCAGTATCTGCGATGCACAATAAAATGAAATGCAATGGAATGAGGTATGCCTGCATAATATTTATCTAAAAAAACCCGAGATGAGTATGGACAATAGCAAAAATGTTTCTCCTCTCTCTATATGAAGATCAACCCTGGTTTTCATTCCCATTTATCTGGTAACTGTAAAGCCTTAATAAATTTATAGGCATTATTTAACCTCAAAAATAAAGTGCTAGGATTTCAAAAATTTAATAATGACTACATTAAAGAATGTCTAAGAAACTTGCCTGTTTCTGAGTGCACAGAAAAGATAATCTTCAGAGAAATTCGACTTCATTGCATAAACACTTGATTACTTCTTGTCCTTTGAGTCTAAGCTCTATGTGGATTTGGTGTGCTCCTTAAGGGCCACATCATTTTGTATTATATTTTGCTTTCCTCAAAAGCACTTAGCGCTTCACAATCACAACACTTCTTAACACAATCACAACACTTCATAAAAAGTTAGTATTTTCCTTGTAGCTAGAAAGGAGAAAGGACAATCTTCAAACATCCAATTATATTAAACATTTGGGTTTAACCCATACACAACTTCTAAAACTAGAGAAACTTTTTTTTTTTCCTGCTTTACGTACAATACATTTACAATTATACGTGTGTTGGTTGAAAACAGGAGTAATTTCCCAGTGGACCAATGAAAAAGAATGAGAGGAATGTGAACTTCGGTAGTTTGCATGAGGAAAAGAGAGGGGGCTCCAATATAATTACTATTAATTGGTGACATCATCCAAGTAGCAAGAATCACACAAATGTGTCCCTGTGTTTTTGTGCTAACTCTCACTCTGAGCCTCCCAGTTGGACCCTGGCACGCTACTTTTGGAATGACCATTAAGCCTAGGCCTAGGAAAAGGCATTTCCCTGTAGATCAGTGTGTAGCTCTTTTGTTCTCAGGTATGATATTAAAGTGAGAGAAAAGAAATGACTTTCACCATAAGACACTGTAGTTAAGTCTGTCTCATGAGGCATGGCAACTGACTCTCTTACCTGCACGAGATGTTCCTCTTAAAGGCATTCCTGTACTTTGTCTTCTCCACTGTCCTCTACCATCATCCAACCCATGCAGCCCAATGAAGCCCTGGCTTCTGGGAGCAGTTCATGCCTGATATCTAGGGAAAACTAGCCACACTGACAACCTCAGCTCTCTGCAGAGCACAGGGCCTCTGAAGCAATAGACACAGGGGACAGGCTCCATGAACCTGCTTCTCCTATTATGGAGCGTGACTGCCAAGAACTGGGGAGAAGGTAACATTTCGGGATCACATAATCTTAATACTTCAAACTGAGTTAGCTATCAATAAACACAATCAAGTCTCTGGCTTTGACTTGAATCCAAACCTGTATGTCTCTGAATGATCCTTTTTCTATCTCCATGAGGAAGTGCAAGTGTTGCTTATTAAATATAGGTTTCTGGGCGTCCCCTGGGCCCCCAGAACCAGTGTCTGGGGGCTGAGGCAGCCGTGTGATCTTTCCCCAGCTTCCCAGGTAGAACCTTGTTAGGACTTGAGAAAGGTACAAGCTAATTTCAATCAAGTGGCTTATTCAATCTCTAGGCTTCTGATAGCACAAAAAACCCTTGGTTTATGCAGTGTGACATGAAGCCTGTGTCCCAGCAGGTCACTTTATTAATGGGTTACCCTGTTTTTACTTAGCGGGGGGCCTATCACCTTCTGTTATCTCACCACCACCTTCCCGTCCTGAAGCTGGTAGTGTTTCCCCCTGGAAAAATCTGAACCCCACCGGCAGGGTTTGAAGAGGAGACTTCTACAAAAGGTTTAATACTTTCCCATTTGACAAGGCTCTGACTTCTGATCACCCCACAGGCTGGACCTGGGAGTCTCCCAAAGAAGCACACCTGCTGGGAAACCGCCCTTCCTGGCCGCTGTCCCTTCCTCATGGCCTCAGAGTTGGTTTCTTCTATCCAGTTCTACTCTACTCACGTTTTAATTTGTCATTCCCACCACCGGCACCACCATAGCGAGCTCTGTTGAGTGACATTAGGAAAATCGCCACAAGGGCCAGGACAGCCCCCAGGCTGGGGGGCCCGCACGGACTCACCTCCTGCGCCAGCCCGGAGAGGAGTGGGGCGATGATCCGGCCCACGGCCGTCACGGACTGCCCCACGCCGATGACCGTGCCGCTGGCCTGCGCCCCGCCCGCGGCCAGCTGCAGGTCGGTGATGCAGGTCCTGCCCACCGCGGTGGACACGGCCAGCAGCGAGGAGCAGAGCACCGCCACGGGCACGGAGCGGGCGGAGGCGTGCAGCAGCAGCAGCAGGCAGGTGAGCGCGCTCGAGTGCAGCAGGAGGGCGTGGCCATCGTGCCGGTACAGCCGCAGCAGGGGCCCCAGCGCCAGGCCGGCCAGGGCGCCCAGAGCGCTGCCATAGCTGATGAGGTAGCCGGCCACCCGCGGCCGCACCCCGAAGCGCTCCTCCAGCGCCAGCACGAAGTTACTGTAGTAGAGCATGACCGCCACTGCCATCAGCAAGCGCACGGCGAAGATGTCCCACATCTCGGAAAATATCAGGCTCTTCATGTCGCGCAGTGTGGATGCGAACTCCAGCCAGGGCGGCCTGGCAGGTCTGCTGCGGACTGTGCTCCGGGGAGGGGTGGCGGTTTCCTGCCCGTGACCATCTCTCCTCCCCCAGGGTGCAGAGTTCCTCCTCGCTGGCTGGCCTTTCTCTGCACTGGAGAGCTTCGCTTCACACCAGGGAAACAGCCAAACCAGACCTGGTAGGATGGCATGGGATCTGTCGGCTGCACGCCCGGACTCTCAGGGTGCCCCCAATCCCGGGGGAGGAGCACGTGTGTGCACGAGATTTCTATTCTGTAGTTTTGTATTAGTACATTTACTAACCTCTGTCTTTGAATCCAGTTTTTAACCATGCCCACAGCTACTTCTACTCCATTTTGATGGTAGAATTCCACTCTTCACCTTAGAAAAATTCTATACCTACAAAATGTTCACTTTTTTCGCCGGCTCAAGAGCCCATGATGGTTTCCTGTATCATGGGGTATTGAAATTCTCATGCTGTATATTTAAATTCACTACCTTTCTAACTGTGTGCCTTTCCACCATCCTGCCTCCCCATCCATCCACCCTCCCATCCATTCCCCACCCACACTTCATCACATTCTGAACAGTTATGCTTCCTAAATGCTAAGGCCTGTAATAAACAGTAGGAATATATTAACAAGACAAGACCTAGAACATCCCTGTCCTCAAGGAATTTAAGTCTAAAAGGGGGTTTGGACAAGTAAAACACAGCAACTGGATTACAGGGTGGGTACTGTGTTGGGGGACGCTCACTCTGTAAGCAGAGGCAGCTGGGCTGGGCTTGCGGGAAGAGGGGCCGCTTGACACCAGTGACCTGTCAGGAAGTACCTGCTTGGTTCTGTCCCCTGTCAGGGCCCACCATGTGCTTTTGCAAGTCACACCTCAAAATCTTTGGGGGTACCATTCTCACAGACCACGATGTATGACCTTACAGAGCAGCCCAATTCCTACTCAGAGAATCCTACTTCCACCCTTATGACTGGTGCATTCCTGCCTCGGTCGTTTTATGTATCCCATGCCCTCCAAGTAGAAGGACCTACTGCCAACCAATGCCCCCAAATTTCTTGAAGCTGAATTCCAGCTTGCCATTCTAGGACATTTTTTCCAAACTCATCCGTGGAGTTTTCAGTCCTTCCACACTTAAATTCAACTGGACCATGGCCAATCAGACCGCTTCATGCTGTTTTCAGCAACCACATCTGTGTATGTGGTTTCTCCACAGCCTAGGGGGACTACTCATCAGGGACTAATTTATGACAGAAAACTTAACCACATGAGAATGCAGGCCTGGCCTTTCTACCACTTCTTATCTTTAAAAGGGCCCTTAGACGTCTTACACAATCTTGATAAAAATATGGAAGGGCTATCGCCAGTGGACTGAGACAAAGAGTGTAATTAAAATAATAAAAATGATAATGATGACAGCAACTGATGTTTACTGAGCATGCAGTATTCTTGACGCAGTGGGGTGAACGCATGCAAGACCTCCAGGGCTCGCCCTAGTAAGACTGGGAGTGTTGTTATCCCATTTTATGGATGAGTAAACGGAGGCAACTCACTCAAGGCCCACACTAAAAAGTGGCACAGCGGGAATCTGAATCCAAGTTTGTCAAACTCCAGAGTCTAAGTTCTTAACCATGAAATCAGAAATCATGCCACAAAAGACATAAAAGAGGCCCTTCTCAGGCAAAGTGGCCTATCAGAATGAGGATATGAGAAGCTGAAGGGGTAAAAGAGGTTTAGGAAAACAGCCGAAGTCACTGAGGGGAAAAAACGCAGTACACTGATCACTGCCCTGGACGGCAAAACCTGGTGTGAGACACTGTCCGTTGGCCTGCCCCTATCACTCTCCCCTGCTATTCTCTGCATCAGCTCGGCCTGCTGACCTCTAAATTTCTTAAGAATGCACAAGAAATCCCTATTACTATTTTTAGCCATTGCGGTTGAGAACACTTGTGGCTGAACTATCCCTGACTGACTCAGATCCATTCACAGGCTTAGGTGAGGGCATGATATTCAACAGCATCATCGCTGGAGAATCCCAAACAGAACCCCATAATCACGGTCTTCGTTTATACACTGACTTCTGACTTCGAGAGCTATCACATTCATCACATTCCTTCATGTGGGAAGGTACCTGGCCACACCAGCCAGTCATGGGCTTCAGGTATTTTATCTAGATTTGCACTAATCCGTCAGACCTCACCTCCCAGCAGAGGTTACAGGTTAAACTTCTGGCAGGAGATCATAAAGTATTCCTATGACAATTGACATTGAACTCCTGAGCTCTGTTTCCTGAATGTGATATCCTAGCTCAACATGGAATCCATCATGCAACCTGAAGCCTTGAATACAAAGACTAAAAAAGATGCAGTAGAGAAGGCTATCATTAAATTTAAGGAAAACTGAGTAACATGAACCAATCCTCTTGTTTCTGAAGTTGTTTATCTAAGGCTCAGGAAGGTACCAGTCTCTAGACAAAGAGGTTTATCCCCTTGGCTTTAGGCGACTGGCCCTGCTTCCAAGGAGTTCATAGTCCAGTAAGTGTTCTTTTATTCATCAAATGTTATTGAACATTGGCTTTATGCCTGGCCAGTTCTGGGCAGGAGTGACAACGGTGAGAAAATTTCTATCCTGTGGCATTTAGTTTCTAACAGAATGTGTGGGGAGGTAGGGAGGAGAGAATATAAGCAAGAAAACAAATAGATAATATAATTTCAGAAGTGCTGTGAAGAAACCAGAATTATGTGTAATAGAATCATCAGGAAAAGCCTTTCCAAGGAAGCAATATTTGACACTCGAATGGTAAGAAAGACTCAGTAGGGTGGCTCAGTGGGTTAAGCCTCTGCCTTCAGCTCAGGTCATAATCTCAAAGTCTTGGGATCGAGCCTCACATCGGGCTCTCTGCTCAGTGGGAAGCCTGCTTCCCCTTCTCTCTCTGCCTGCCTCTCTGCCTACTTGTGATCCCTGTCTCTCTGTCAAATAAATAAATAAAATTTTAAAAAAATTAAAAAAAAGAAAGAAAGACCAGTAAAGGCATGTGGGAAGAATGTTGTAGGTGGGGAAAAGAGCAAATTGCAGTGCCCTCCTGTGGGAATGAGCCTGACGTGTGTGAGGCTGACCAGGAAGCCAGTGTGGCTGGAGCACATGGAAGGGTGGGGGGCAGGGCTTGCCCATCCACATGCTATGTGAGACACATACATGCTTTAAGCATGATGGGAAGACATGGGCAGGTGGTCTGCAGCAGGAGACAAGGTGTCCAACTTTGAAAAATAAGTCTGCCTATTCGAATGTGAAGGGGATTAAGATACACATATCAGGATGAGCCCTGAGTGATGTACAGAATTGCTGACCCACTAAATTGCACACCTGAAACTAACATAGCAGTGTAACAACAACAAAAAGTCTGCCTGTTTTAAGAACAACAAAGTGTAAGGAGATAAAAGTAAAGCAGGTAGATGGGTCAGTATGAATGCATAAACCAAACAGCCTTCTTAGGATGAAACGTCAACTTACCAGCATTGAGGATGAAGACAGAGAAACAGATGAAGGCTGTCAGATAAAATCCACCTTCTAGCTCCGTAAGATATCCACCAACCATGGGGCCCAAGATGAAGCCCACACTAGATGCCGCATTGAATTGTCCAATTACTAATGGCCGTTCTTTCTCTGCAACCAGATCAGAAAGCAGAGCCCTTGAAATGGAGAGGGTATGTTTAAAAATACCTGCAAGGGGATAAGAAACATGCTCTGTAACATTTTTCAGACCAAAAGAATCTTGGATGTGATCTTGCATTTCATCCCTATCACAGATGGAGTTCTGGTCTCCATTCTCTTTGAACCTCTAAGGTTTGTACTTTCATCCCACTGTGACTGGACTCCTGATCTAGCCCCACAGTCCTAGTTGGCTACCTTATTCCTGGCAGTCAAGCCCTGCATCCCCTGCTTTCCCACCGTCCACCCTGACATCCCAGTATCTCCAATTTTCTGTTAGCCAAGTGCAATTCGTGGTGGCTTCTCTGCAGAGATGTATCATTCTTCATTCATTCACTCAGTGAGTAAACATTCATTGCATGCCTACTGTATGTTCAGCATTAACCCTGACCCTGACTCTGAGAATAATGCAAGGATCAGAGAGCAAAAAACCCCACAAACGTACCTCTCTTCACAGAGCGTGTGTATGTGTGTACATGGGTACAGGTGATAACTGCTAGAGAGGAAGAGAGCAGGGAAGAAGGATAGGGAGTGAGGAAGGATATAAAAACATGATGACATAGTCATCTAAACACTACCAACTGATTTTCTCCTAGCAAGAGGTTTATGAATTGGTTGACTAAACAAATTGAAAGGTGGGACATGACTTAATAAGAGATTTAAGTGTATATAGCAGCTTTATATTCCTCATACTTCTGCTGATGTATTTGACTTGCCTGCACCCATACACCCATATGTTGAATAAACAGACTGAGGGGTTCTGGTAACATGCGCTGCCCGCCACACTGATCAATACATGGCAGCAGCTCAGTCAGTGCTGCTGGCGGGTCGGCCTGCCGTGCTCCTAACTGTGATGCAACACAACGGTTTCCAGTGATTTCCTTGAAAGAAGCATCACTCTATACATCTCTCGGCTTGCACCCTGATCCTGGGTTCTATATCCAACTCCGTGTAAACATTAGAGCGGATATTTGCCTGATAACCAGCCTCTATGGGAAGCAAACTTACAAATCTGTCTAGATCTATTTGCTTAAATGTGAGAAAGGACCAGGCTGGAAGATGATTTCTAAAAGGCCTAGCAGGGATCCTGTAATTATTTCTGAAATGATACCGATGTTGAGTTCACTTTACATACCCGGGGAAGGAGGACTGTGGTGAAGGTGACCCAGACTAGCTTCCTGTTACCTTCTAGAGGCTGGGCTAGGGGATAGAGAGAAGAGGGGAAAACCATGTGTCTACCTCTGGTACTTCAACCTCTGTCAGGCTCACCTTCAGATCCAAGGACCTGAACCTACATGACATTGTACAGCATAACCCTTGCAAGGCTCCCCAGGTCTCCCTCATATTCCTGGGCCAACCGAATACTGTAGAAGTTCCCATAGCAGGAGAGAATTTTATGTGTAGCTCTCCTGTTAGCCAGGAGTAAGATATATGTCAGTGGAACTACCACTACTCAAAGCAGGCTCATTTCATATTAAATAAAAACATTTTAATCTTCTCTATAAATTTCAACCTATTGTATACAGGGTCGATTAATCTGTATTTCTTTAGAATTACAAACAGCCTTACTGCTGAATGGTGGAATGTATTATATTTACACACTGCAACCCAAACTGAGCATGTACAATAACTTTGACTCCGAATGCACATAGAGCAGCCATCAGTTGGATTTTGTGTGGTGGGGGGGAGAGTTAGGATGATAGCTCATATTTAAAGTGAAGACCTTTGTAAGTATTTTCGGGTTTTTGAGTCAACAGAAAGGCAAAGAATGAATTTTCAAGGGTGAACTCAAAAGACTTGGAGAGTAAGTATGTATGTCACAGAAATGGTGTGAAAATCCCAAATGAGCTGATCATCAACCATATGTTAAAAGGACTTATTTTATGCTCTGTTCCTTTGGGGCATTGGGTGAAAAGGAGCAGCTTAACTGACTAGGGGCAGAGGTCCAGGGCTGCAATCTTGTCCACCAGGGCAGCTGAGTCTATCAATACTCTATTGAATCAGGGGAGAAAGAAACACTGAAACTCCAGGGTTCTAACAACTGAGAAAGGCAAAGAGAGAACAAAGAGCTTCCACAGGGCCTGCCTACCCGCTACACTAGGATAGCAGTCAACAGCGGCAGCTCAAAGAATGGACAAAATAAAAGCCATTTCGAAAATATCAGGAACATTCAAGATCAGTTTGGAAATAGAAACTAACCCATGAGCCACGCCATCTTCATCCTAGTATCTCCCCCAACCAACAGCTGGATTTACAGGAGGCTGCCAGAAAGCTACAGTGGGAGATCTCCATCTGAAGTCAGGAAGCCCGATTTTAAAACTAGAAGTTGGCCAAGGGGAAGAATAATAACCACAGTGCTGGCCAAAGACATTTAACAAATTCTTACTGACTGAATGTAGAGAGAACGATGGGAAGGAGCCAGGTCTGTGCAGTGGTATAATGATTCATACTGACAGGGAAGGCTCCAGGCCCCATCGTGGACAAGCTCTGTGGCTGTGCTCATCTGAGCAGAGCCTGACTGATACCAAGTCCTCCATCAACAGCAGCGTCTGATGTTCCAGTTATAATCGCTCTTGCCATTATTCTCTCTTGACATAAGCTGTAACCAAGAAGGGACCAACAGGAGAGCCTGGGCGGCTCAGTCGGTTAAGCATCCAACTCTTGGTTTCAGCTCAGGTCACAATCCCAGGGTCCTGGAATCCAGGGATTCCATGGGGCTCTGTGGCTCAGTGCACAATGTGCTGGAAATTATCTCCCTCTCCCTCTGCTCTTCCTGCTGCTCACACAGACTCACTCTCTCTAAAATAAATAAATAAAATCTTAAAAAAAAAAAAAAAGGAATAAAGAAAGAAAAAGAAGGCACTGACAGGTAAGATTGTCTCTCTTTATACATTTACAGACAATTGGTTTATTTTGAATGAGAACACACCCAAGGGCAGGAACATACCCACAGGGACTCTAGCCAGGGCAAACAGGAACACATTGGTGGATGCTCCAAGAATCAGATAACCCAGGGCGCTGAACAGAATGCACACCAGCAAGGAAGACCATCTTCCAACCACATCACTCCAGCAGCCCTGAGGAAAGCAAGGAACAGAGAAAGTCCTCTGACCCCCCACCTTTAACCACCACCACCGTGGAGATGCCCCAAAGGTGACCGAGATGTGATGCCCGGATGGGAGACAACTTACCACCAGTGTGCTGGAAAAGAGCTGCAGAATGCCATAGGAGGAGCCTACAAAAAACATCAGTAACATCAAGAAAATCAGCTGGACCCATCATGAAAATGGATCAATGTGTTAATAATTACATAGATATTAACAGGAAAACATTAGGGGAAAAGAAGACCATTTTTAAAAAGGAGATATCCCCCCTTTTTTTTTCAGTTGGAAGGGTAAAGCAATACAATTTTTATTAAAAGACCTTCAGGGGCGCCTGCATGGCTCAGTTGGTTAAGTGTCTGCCTTCAGCGCAGGTCATGATCTCAGAGTCCTGGGATCGAGCCCCGCACCAGACTCCCTGCTCAGTGGGGAGTTTGCTTCTCCCTCTGCCTGCCGCTCCCCCTGCTTGTGCTCTTTCTCTCCTCCCTCTCAAATAAATTAATCTTTAAAAAAAACAAAAACAAAAAAAAAAAAACCCTCAAAAACTGAAGGAAGTAGGAGAGAGACTACAGCAAGGGCTGCCCGCGGTCTCTGAGAGAGGCTTCTCCTGCTCTGTAAGGATGCATACCCCCGACTGAGAAGACGGAATAGAGAGTACTCAGGGAATAGAAATCCAAATTCTACAAAAATTCTACTAAGTCTAAAAGTTTCTGTATCCTCTTATACGCCTCTAACATTCTGGTTTTACAAACTGCTTTAGTTTTATAAAGAACTGACAAAATTTTACAGAGTGCCTTTACCTCCATTATATCACATAACATGTCCCTTCTGCTCTTCACAAAAACCCTCGGGCCACTGTGGGGGCCGGTATAATTCTACTTCCCCAGGGAAATACAAGTCATGGCATGCAGGACTTACTAAATACTGTGTCCACCACAGTCTCCCAACATCTGCTTATCCAGCTTGCGAATAGTCAAGGGCTGTTAGTCTTTTAACAATTCCTTGTTAATTAGCATAGTCCTAAGCCCTGCTATGCCCTGTCTCTTTGGTAAATCAGGGACTTTCAGATGGAGGTTCTATCCTGCACAGGCAGACAAACCCTACAACCCCCTAAGATGCACCGGTGGTGGTCAAGGCTCACCCTGAGTCCCTTTGCTGTGTGAACTGATTTCTGTAGATTACATTTCTCTGGTTCCCGCAGGCAGGAGTCTGTACCTACCCTCTGACACACACAGCCAGCTCCTTGGAGATGCTCAGGGAGGAACTGTGATGTCACTGGTGGTGAGGGCAAAGGAATGATGCTAACCCTCAACACCTCTCTGAACACAGGTAGTCTAGGAAAAGATGAACAATATTCGCTCCAGGGTAACATTCCTAAGTATTCTAAAAATTCCTTTTAGCCCACTTTGAATTTAGCTTTGGATGATATTCAGCTATCAAGACTGATTTGGTTTTAGGTTCTTAGTCCAGATGATTGAAAATTTGGTGCTCTGAAATGTACAATATTAACTACTTACCTACTATTCCAGCAACTGTTGGACTTGCTCCAAGAGACTTGACATGAAGGCTCAGTAAAGGGACGACCATGCTGACACCAAACAAATCCTAGACAACAAAACACTGATTAACTCAAATTAGAAACTGATGCTTTGGTGTTCTTAAAGTGGTGATCCTAATAACAAACTGATTAAAAACATAAACCAATATCTAATTTTGAGGAAACAGGAAATCGTAATTCTACAGTATGCTATACCCATCAGATTAAACTTATCAAAGAATCAAAATACAATGTTATAACAGTTGCTACCTATAAAGCCTGACCACCATGACCGAGAATCATTTCGACCTTAGCTTCCTTGTGATTGATCCTTAATACTCAAGGAGGATGTGCTATAGAAGTTATTCAAATAAAAAACAAAAACAAAAAATGTCTGTGTGTAATGAAGTGGGAAAGGAGGCAGGGATAATGCCTATTTCTTTCTTTTTTTTTTTTTTTAAAGATTTTATTTATTTGACAGACAGAGATCACAAGTAGGCAGAGAGGCAGGCAGAGAGCGGAGGAAGCACGCTCCCTGCTAGGCAGGGAGCCCGATGTGGGGCTCGATCCCAGGACCCTAGGATCATGACCTGAGTCGAAGGCAGAGGCTTTAACCCACTGAGCCACCCAGGCGCCCCAATACCTATTTCTTGACAAAGCAGCACTTGCTTCCTAATATGAATTTCCTCCTGGAACTAGGGAAGGCGACTAATCTGTGGCTTATAGCCTTAAAAATAATACCTGAAAAGAAGGTCTCAGCAAAGCAGGAAGGAGAGAGAAGGATGGAGTACTGGGGAAAGCCAGTGTTCTATAGCTAAGTCAGTGAAAGTGCAGGCACTGGGGTTACACAGACAGTTCTAAGTTCCGGCTTCATTACTTACTAAGCATGTGTGCTTGGAAAGTTACTCAATGTCACCAAGCATCAGTGCTGTCATCTGCAAAAAATGGGAATAATAACACCTGTCTGGTAGAAATATGAAGTCCATTAAAAGATGTAATGATTGAGACAGGTCTAACACACGAGAGCAGTTCAAATATATTTTTGCTTTTTTTTCAGTCCTGGGGATAAGTACTGATCCTTTTTGCAAGGTATTCTGAGTTAACAGAAGGATTGTTAATTTTTCCTTTAAGTTTTGTTCTCATCCCTACTTCACTTGGATACTTGCAACAACTGGAGTAGAAGAAGGAAACCACATTGCACACACATGGGTTTCTTTATATTCAACTAGAATTACTTTCCTTATAATCAATCTGGTTTAAATAGAAAGAAATGCATGAAAAATATTTTTTCTTTGGGCCCACAGTTAATCTTTTGCTTGTCCCTTCTCCTGGTGGCTGTGCATTCACCTAAATTTTAGAAACAGGAACCTCTAAATGTACTTTTCAGTGGCTCTTTTCCATGGTCACATCTTTAGATGGCCATATACTTACTATCTAGTGTTCTCAAGTAGTTCATAAATTTATACTACCTCAACTACAGCTTATTTTGATTTTAAGATTACTTAAATCTTTTGGGCTCTCAGCCTTCTTTCATCAGCCTACTGATGTACGATATCACTTAAAAGACCCCAAATACATCAGCTACCTACTGAATATTCTGCATCTTTCAGAAAAGGAAACTCAATTGTCCAAAAAAATTTCTTTTCCAAAAAATTCCCAGTACGACTTGTTATTTAACATTCAAGTAAAGGATGGGAGATAAATAATTAAGTAGGCTGCGATTTACGGTAGGTAATAAGAAAACAGACTCATAAGTAATAACTGATGATCAGTATTATTTTAATGCTTTGTGAGCCTGAAAAGTATTAGCTATTTCCACGGATGCTGGTGTTCTAGAATTGTCTTTCAGGAAGTTGTGCTCTAAAATCGTCTTCCCCTTACAAGAGAAGGCAATTCCTCTCTTGCTGTGAATCTGCAGTTTCTTCAAAACCACCGGCTTTGAATGTATTTTGAATGTGGCAACTGGTCATGTGCTTGTAACTGTTTATAAGGAAATCAGGCGAGAGGGGACACTTAAACCTTTCATGGAACATCTACATCTCTCAACAAAAACTGATGAACACACTAAAAAGTTTCAGGATCTTTTTCAGGGTAGGAACCTAAATATTTCTTGATCAACAAACTGCCTCAGTAACAATGAATGAGACCTCACTACAGCTGATGAAATAAAATATGAATCTCTGTATCTGGAGGAAAGAAAGGATTGAAATCATAGGTCTTAGCACCATCTTACAATGCTAACCAAAAGGGGCCTCGAGGGCCATCTTCATCTTCCTTCTTAAACAAATTAAAACCTGGAAGCTCAGATGAGAACTAAAAACAGAACATTTTGGCAAATGACTTCTTTAATCCTGTTCCCTTCCTCTCTTATTAATCTGAAACCATTTTCCCAAAAGTCTTAGGAGGTCTTTATCTCTCTCTATATATAAAAAAGTAATAACTAAGTTATGTATAATATTCCTTAGATGTTACCTAACAAAAAGCCATTAGATCCTACAAGGATATCCAAAGCGGCACATATTTTAATTGCTTACATTTCCCATTTTTAAAAAATCCCTACTCTAACTTTTGGGAAATCTTACATTTTACCCTGAACATATTAGAGACCTAATAACTCTCTTGAACAAATTATTACAATTTTATATCAGGCTTGCTAAATTAGACTTGCTGTGTGCACAGTTCATACACAACACAGGAGACGTTCTGAATATTCTAATCTGTACTGGAAGGCCAACTATAATGAATGGCCTGTGGATTCATTTAAAACATTCAAACTATTTTGAATTTTAGGTCATATTGGTTTCTCTGAAGTCCCAATCTGGACTTTCCAGGTGAGGGTTCAAATTCTTCTCATCTGGCAGAATCAGATAGTAGTACTGTCTGAGGGAGGGAGGCAGTAGCTAATGGACAGTCCCCAGCTTCTACCAGAGGGTGGAGGGCAGCCAACTCCCTTCGGAAATGTCAAGGACTACTCACCATCAATAGTTTTGAATTGTGGATGGCTAGAATAGAACGTGGAAGAGGCATCTGCATGCACCCTGAGACTGAACTAAGATTAAGGAATGGCAGGCTCTGACCTGAAGCATTAACCCTGGGGGCTAAGCGAAGCAAGGTTAACCGGAGCCCCCCTGAGTGCCTCACCGTGCGGTGTTTACAGTGATTTGGAAAATGCTTTCATCATTGTCTTAACAACTATTAAGTCAACATTAAACCTTTACAGAAGGATGGTTACAGACTGATGGTTTAGTACCCAAACTGTGAGGCTAATATACTGGAGAGTAGTGATCCTAACCTGCATCTAGGCAGAAAATAGTAATTTCTCTTTGCCATGACCTAGTGCCTTTGCAGACTATTCAAGGCCCCCAAAGGCAGTCTTTGCCCAGTGACACTTAACCTGACCAGTTCCTTTTGTCCTCAAGATATAGTCTCAGTCTCAGCAAAGAGGAAATCCTACTGAGTCATCTTCCCAGTTCTCTCCTAACCTGGACCAGCTCACAACCAGGGCAACTGAACCAGATCTAGACTTGGAAGGAGAAGAGTGAGGACTTGGATCTAGGGTTCCTGCAGATAATGGCCCATGAAGTACCAACACAGCGTTCTGGTAAGATTTTAAGTTCTTCCTGGCAGGGACTGTGTATTACAGGGACTGGAGCTCTGCAGCCCTGGCAACATAAAATGTTTTCAGAAATTCTATGAATAATAAATGGATGGATGTATGGATGACTTCTCCTATCATACACTCATCTTTCTAAGCTTTCCATTCTAAGTGGGAAATTCATAATTAATTGTCTTTATTAAACCAGGACACACACACACATCATGAAAAAAACCAAATCTGCTTAGCCCAATAAACAGTTTGTTGAAAGGCAGAAATGGGTATAATTCACTATGGTTTGCATTTTTAAATATTCCAGTCTATCAGGAGCCCTAATGAAAATGTGTCTAATTCTGCCCAAGTGAGGTCATCAACAGTGACTTCGCTGACCGGGCCTGGCAAAAAGGCCTGTGTATTCCTACCACATCTACAGCCCTCAAACTTGCTCAGGAGCCCAGCTATCCACTCTGCGTGCTCTGTACCTTTCACAGCACCTAACACCTGGGGTCACCCTTGAGCCCGGCTCAATCACACAAGACGCTGGTGCTGGGGGCGCCTTAAACCGCAGGAGGGGCAGAGGAGCCGCGGACTGGGCCCCGCAAGGGAGCAATGTGACCTGGCGCAGAGTGAAAGAGGTTTGGGGGCAAAAAGAGGCTTGAAAGGTATAAGGAGTCACCACCAGGCAGATCGCAGTTTCCCAGTCCTCGCTGAGACTTACGACCACTCGGGCTTCAAGAAAAAAGCCACCCCCAATCGGGTTCCAGGTCCAGGACGCAGTCGCCCTTCGCTCCCAGCCCCGGCACTCACCAAGAAGCCCACCAGGTAAAGACAGAGCAGGAAGCGGCGGGCTCCGACGGCACCGGGGCCGCGAGCCCGCGCCTCAGCCCCGGCCCCCAATTCGTGCCTTGGCATCGGGGTCGCCGAGGCCAGTCCCCCCGCGGTAGCCAGGCCGCGGCGCACCCCCGACTCCATGCGGACGGGTCGGGGGCGCGGACCTCCGCAGCCGCTGCCGGGCTGCCCACGCGCGCTAGCCCCGCCCCAAGCGGAAGTGAGAGGCGTGCGCCTGCGTAGAGGGGAGCGCGACCGGACTGCGGGGCGGTGGCTGCGCGGGAACGTGGCGGCCTACAGGCGCAAAGGAGTTAGCGCTGGCCAGTTTTGTGATGGTAATGATGAAGCTGTCCATTTCCTTGGAGGGAAGACTGCTTCTGGTGTTGGAGGGCGGAAGGGAACTGTGCTGAGCTTCACCACAGAATATGGGGCCGCCTGGGGTGGCGGCCAGCCCCGCCTTCGGGAGACCCACAGACTCAGGCCCTACTTGGCTCTGCGTGACCTGGAGGGGTGCCTGTGACCCCTTCAAACTTCATTCTGTCTGTTGGAAAAGCAGGCAGAAATAAGGTAGACTAATCTTAGAGAGCTGTGAGAATCCTGCAAATGCTTCTGGCGCCCAAGGGGAGGTTACAGTTTCCTGGAGTAATAATACTAAGCGCACAGTAAATAAACATGGTAAGTTAAATAATACACATGCAGTACACAAGAGAAGAACACGATAAATAAAACAATATGGTGGCAAATGGTAGAAGAAGAGCACTGTCTCCGGGGTCAGGGTGGGGGGGAAGATTAAGGGGGGGGTACTGGTGTCCTTTGGTAGCTTGGAAGAGGGGACATGTAGGCTGAAAAGATTGAGGAGGTATATGTGGCTGAAACTTTCTGAACAAACTTGAGTCATCAGATAAACAGGCAGGAGGCAGGATCATTCAGCACTTAAAAATGCCCTGGTAGAGTTTTAGGGTTTAATTGTGAGTGCAGTGAGAGGAGGTAAGCAGTGCATGACACCAGATGGTGTGTTATCAGTCATGTAACATAGTGACTTGACACATGGTAAGTACTTAATATTACCTATGGTGACAAGCCCCTCTTTTATTCAGGAACTTTTTTCAGCACTCATTCCTTTCTTGCTTTGTTATAAAGAGTCTGAGATTTTCAAGAAAATCTCATTTTAATTGTGCAGGTTGCTAAATGACTACATCTGTAGGATTCGATCTTGCAGAGTTTATCATGTGAAAGTTAGGGTACAGTTTAGGAAAGAATGAGATACTGAAATTTAGAGTGGAGATACGTGGTTGGAGCCAGATGAAGCTGACAATCTTGAACCCCCCCCAAGTCACTCTGAACCTCCTTTGCCACCAGAAGTAGTGTGTCCTCTTGTGTCAGGAAATTAGCCTTCCTGTGCTTAAAATTTTTGTGATTAGCCCATCTGAGATAGGTTCCTTAAGAGGGGAATGCTCATGTTTTTCAAGACCCATTGAAACTACTCACTGTGTCGGCTCAGGTCATGGTCTCAAGGTCCTGGGATGGAGCCTGGCATCAGGCTCTCTGCTCAGCAGGGAGCCTGCTTCCCTCTCTGTCTCAGCCTGCCTCTCTGTCTGCTTGTGATGTATCTCTCTCTGTCAAATAAATAAATAAACAAAAAAAAAAAAGAGAAAAAAAGAAAGAAAAAGAAACTACTCACTGTTCACTAGATAAATAGCTAGGGTAAAAATCTTTTCATGTTCCAGGGGGCAGGTAGACATTATGGCCTCTGAGGAAATTGTTTACACACCAAAAGAATTGAAAGACTCCGCTAATGTATAATCAGCATACCTTGGAAATGTATGGGGTAGAGAATTTAGGTGTGTCAGATTAAGGAGGGAAAAATATAACACTAGATTAGGCAGAATTCACTGATAAAGGTGCACTTGCTAGAGATTCCAGATGTAATGCCTTAGGTTGGAGAGCTAGAGGTGACTCTTCATAGTTTACTTGGTTGGTTGACTGATAACGTGGACTCAAAGGTGACTTACATTTAAGTCTTGGGATGCCAGATGTTTTTTGGCATAATATGAAAAAGGGGATCCAAAGCTTTGAGAGAGAAGAATGTTAGAGTGGATTTACAGAGTATGACCTGCATGCATATCCCCCGAATATATTCCATTAAAAGGCCTAGAAGGCACTACCTTAATAAGGCATTGAGGACTATGTTAGTGGGAAGAACTCTTACATTCTTGTAAAGGCTTGTGATTGCTCTCTGTTTAGGCTGGGTGTAGCTATGGGTGATAGTGCTTTTGAGGTGAGCTCTCTGGTTTAAATGGAGGTAATAAGATTCCAGATTATTAGAGGCCAGATGGTAGCACTTTGACATCAAAAATGAGGTGGGCGCATTTATTGTAAAAGGTAGTATGTATCAGTAATCAGAACGCCTTTGCTTTCAAGGATTTTTGACTATGGATAATTGACCATAATATCCGTAGGAATGAAATAGTCTACTAGAATGTTGTTGGAGCTATATAACAGAAAAAAAAAAAAAAACAACCTCTAGATTGGGTACCCAGAATCCTGACTTGACTTGCCACAGGAGAATTAAAACCTCTCACTCACTACTAGACAAAAACCAATTCACAAACAGCCTCTTGACTCAAGGGGAGTCTAGGTAACCTTAGAATGAATCTTGATGCGTTTACATGAGTATGTACCATAAATCTTCCTCTATACTTTCCACTACGTATCCTGCAGCTGTTACTTGAGTGGGCATTATGAAAAAGGAAATAGCCAGATCTTTGGAGAATTACTAGATACTGGCTCCAGAATGACACTAATCATTAGGGGCTCAAAATGCACTATGCCCCACCAGTAAAAATGGAGCTGAACTGGTTATTCTCAAGACCAAGTCTAAGATTCAGTGATTTGCTAGGAGTACTCACACGACTCAGCATATAGACATAGCTAAGATTTATTACAGGAAAATGACACAAAGCAAAATCAGCAAAGTGACTTGCATGGAATGAAGTCTGAAGAAAAATAGGTACAAGCTTCCAAGAGTCCTATTCCAGTGGAGTCACACAAGACATCATTAATTCTTCCAGCTATAAGTTGTGACACATGTGAAATGTTGTCTACCAGGGGAAATTGACAGAGACTCGGTGCCTGTCTATCACGTAACTACCCTAAGCTACTGTGCAGAAAGGAGTTAACATAACAGACCTAACTATTATCCTTGGAAAAAGTCTGCCTAAAACGTTTTTGCTTGGGACAGCTACATGCAAAAGAATGAAACAGGACCACATTCTAATATTTCACACAAAAATAAACTCAAAATGGATTAAGGATCTAGATGTGAGAGATGCAACCATGAAATACTTCTAACAGAGGCAGTAGTTTTGACATTGACCTTAGCAAGATTTTCTAGATATGTCTCCTTAGGCAGGGGAAACAAAAGCCTACTGTATTCACCTAGACATAAGGTTGTATGTGCACATCATGAAATGGAAATCAATATTGGGCTCTTCCAAAAATTACAAATTGCATGAGCTGGTGGCCTGACTCAGGAGTCCTTCAATACTGACACTTTTTGCATTGTCTCCTCCATCCCCCCATGGCCTTTTGGGAGCTTCTTACAACCAACTGACTGAGGAAGAAAAGTCCTCAGGCAGGTTTGTAAATGATAAGCATGATATTCTGGTACCACCTCAAAGTAGTCAGCTGTAGCACTACAGTACTACACAGGAGTGACTCAAGTAGAGTGGTGAAGGAAAATCTTAACATTAGTTGGAACTTCAAGTGGCACTTTGGTTGGTCACTTTGTCTGGAGTGAGAGATGGCCAAAAATAAAATACACTATTTGTGGGCAATTTCTAATAGGCTAGATGGAATAGACTTGGAAGATAAATGGCAAATAATTCTACAGAAGAGCTATATGGCTGGATGCCTAAAGGGGCACAGGATGTAGAAGATATTTTTCTCCTCTGTGAATGCCTACCATTGGATATCTACTGCAGAGGGCTTTAATAATCAGGCAGATAAAGGTATTGATTGGTTGATATCAGTTCCAAATACACATATAATTGCCCTGCTATGTGATACTGGAGAAGAACCCTATCAAAATTTCTCTTTACTAGCTGGTATAATGTTAAACTTTTTTAGTAGAAGGTGCTAAGGGGAAACTTCATGAGGAAGGAGCTTCTCTTCCAGATGAATGTGTTTTCTCTCTTCTTGCTCCTTGGTGTATGGCATCCAGAAGAGTGTGAAATACCCAGTGGTGCTTAGCTTCCAGCAAGTTTCAGTGGCATCCATGAATGCTGCAAATTCCTTTGGCATCCTAGCTGGTCTCCAAGTGAACCTGTCAGGTGCCCTAGCAAATAATTTCCCAGCCATTTCCACAGACACCCCGGCTGGTGACTTTCCAGTGAGTTTCATGAGTGTTCCAGCTGAGGGCAAGTTACAAAGACATCCAGATTTGACAGGAAGAAAATAAAACTGTCTATATTCGTAGACCACATGGTCATCTATATAAGAAATACTAAGGGATCTACAGGAAATCTACTAGAACCAAGAGTTTAATGAGGTTGCAAAATACAAGATCATTGTACAAATAACAATTTTATTCACATATCCTAACAACAGTTAGAAACTGGAGTTTAGGAAGAAAACCATTAAGAAAACATTAAATATGGGGGCGCCTGGGTAGCTCAGTGGGTTAAAGCCTCTGCCTTCGGCTCAGGTCATGATCCCGGGGTTCTGGGATCAAGCCCCGCATTGGGCTCTCTGCTCAGCAGGGAGTCTGCTTCCCTTCCTCTCTCTCTGCCTGCCTCTCTGCCTACTTGTGATCTCTGTCTGTCAAATAAATAAATAAAATCTTAAAAAAAAAGAAAGCATTAAATATGAAATGCAGATAAATTTGATTAAAAAATGTGCAGAGAGATGATCCATTTTGGACCTATTGAATTCCAATGCTTTTTACTGGGCACAGCAAGATGGTAAGCCTCTAACCATTATTTTAGTTACATCATTTTCACAGACCTGATTATACAGCTGGTAACCTTGAAAGGTGAGGTAATGTCCTTCCACTGCTCAAAGATAAAGCTGACTTTCTGGTTGCAAACAAGCTCAGTGTTCATCAGTTGTGTGTAAAAACCACTACATGTACAGAATCAGAATCCATGTGGGTCTGCTGCATCACTTCCATGGAACATGGAGGCAAG